CGAAAACCACCTCTGGGGGATAACCGCCGGAGACGGTTCCTGGCTTTTTCTCTTGTATTATAGTTCTGACATTTTCATGTATGCAAACACAATAATATTATGTTTGTATGCATGCCATCCCAGGCCATAGTGTCTGGCGTGCAGTGCAGAACCTTTGAGCGTGGTTTGTGTCTCTGCACGTAATTATACACCAGGAGGGTAGGAAAAGGTACGTACGAGTGTGGCCCGTAAGCACAGTATTGGAAGTAGAAGTGCGTCTTGCTGGGCTCAATACCAGTTGAGTTCAGGTGTAGGTTATTATCTTCAGGTTGTTGCTCTGGCAGACCGCAGTACGTCATTCCTAACCCACCCCAATCCAGTGGTATTACTATTGAACCTCTCGTCTGCTGGTCAACTTCCAGTCTCTGGTCCTACTGTAGTCATTCTCTGGTGTTGGGACTTTAGCCATAAAAAGGCGGAAAAATGTGTTTACTTTCAAGAAATGAAAACGAAACAGGGTTAAACCAAGGGTGAAGCAATTTTTACGCCCTCTCTTTTTTACCGAGTGAGAGTATCTATAGCATAGTGGTTTGAGGTTTGCCTGTTGTATTGTGTTGTAGATTGGAACCCCTACCAGCTGAGTTGCCCTGACAGCTCAGCTTAGTTGGTACACGGTAGAGCGCTCGTGGAACCGATGCCTTCCCAATCTGCGCATGCGCGCGTGCACACGCTGTGCTCGCTTAGTGCATGCTGTGTGTTGTTTTGTCGCTTTCTCAGACCCAGCGTCAGTCATGGCCAGCGCAGCAGCTGCTCTTCTCGACGAACTTATGGGAAGGTGCAGGAATGTGATTCCAGGAAAAGAGGTCCAAGAGATGAATTGGGATGACTCCGAGGTAACGTGTCCTGGTGCGCACACCCGCCCCTAATTATGGAATATACAGGTGTGTAAGAACTACCTCTGTGGGTTTTGTCCTTGCGATCTCTTTACGAACACCAGAGCAGACATTGGTACGAAGTGACTTACTTTGCTATTCAAAACACTAGTGTGTTTGTTTTCAGGGACTTGTGACAAGATCCATGACGAAAAGCTTCGCCAGAAGTGAGGTTCCTTTTTTATGGCGTCTAGAGCCTTTTACACTTGTGCAGGTATCAGGAAAGTGGCAGAGTTATGAAAACGGGTTATGAGGTGCAGTTTCTTTCGGAATTGGACAAATTGGTTCGTTCTCTTGATCGCCGTGTGGCTCATGGTAAGGAAAGACTTCACAAGAGTGCAGAAGCCAAGCAGAAGGTGTGCATTGCATGTTTCTTTGTTTGGTTGATTTCTAAGGTTGTTGTTTTAGCAAATGGCAGGTTTCCATGAAGAAGGTGGGAGCGAAAAGCTGCGTCAAATGAACTTGGAAATCAACTCTCGGGTGATGAAGCTGGAAGAGCTCGGTCGATGTGGAGAGGTCGAGGGAGCTCAGGTCCTTCTTAAAGAAGTTGAGGCTCTGGAGAAGGATCGTGAGAAAGAGAGGGCAGGGCTAATGCGAGATAGCAGCAAGGTTGGATCCCTGACCGTTTTATGGACTTTAAATTCGCTTTTTACAGACCCTTGCAGGATTTGAGGTGGATGCCAATGACTTCCACGAAAAAATGGAGTTGTGTGATGTTTGTGGATCGTTTCTGGTGATTGGTGATTCACAGTCCCGAGTTGACGCCCACCTCCTTGGTAAACAGCACTTGGGCTATGCTCGCATCCGAGCTGCCATCTCTGAACTGAAGGTAGTGCATTGTTTCTCATCATTTCATCCAGCGTGCTGATGTTCTATATCTTGTCTGTATGAGCTATATCTGCTGTGTGATCCACAGTTTGTGTATAGAGTATAAATCAGGTTAGAGCACAGGTTAGTCCACTTGTAACACTTGTTTGTTGATTGTGTCAGATGTGCAGTCTGGATCTGTATGTGAAGGTATATGCTGTCCTTTGACCTTCACCTAATATTAATTTTTCCCTTCAGTAACGTTTGTTTCCCTTCATTTCACTAGACGAAACTCAACAAAATGCGAATTACAGAGATGGATAATCGTGAACAAACTGATGTGATTGCACGGTTAGATGTTAGATGTGTGTATGAGGTGTGCACTACCGCTGTATGCTAATGTTGTGTCTATAGGAGAGTTTCTGAGGAACAGAGACGACGATCGAGCAGCAGAGAGAGGAGAAGGAGGTCTAGAAGCCGGAGCAGAAATCGGTACCGCAAGTCTCGTAGCCGTAGCCGAGACCGGCACAGGTCTCACAGCAGAGGCAGGCAATCCTTTCGCAGCAGACGCAGGAGTCAGAGGGACAGCTCTCGTAGCAGAGATAGGCGATTACACAGCCAGGATAAGAAGAGGTCACCCAGCAAGGAGAGGAGGAGGTCACCCAGCAAGGAGAGGAAAAGGTCACGCAGCAAGGAGAGGAGGAGGTCACCCAGCAAGGAGAGGAAAAGGTCACGCAGCAAGGAGAGGAGGAGGTCACCCAGCAAGGAGAGGAAAAGGTCACGCAGCAAGGAGAGGAGGAGGTCACCCAGCAAGGAGAGGGAAAGGTCACACAGCAAGGAGAGGAAAAGGTCACCCAGCAAGGAGAGGAAAAGGTCACGCAGCAAGGAGAGGAGGAGGAGGAGGTCACCCGGCAAGGAGAGGAGGAGGTCCCGCAGCAGGGAAAGGATGTCATGCAGCAAGGAGAAGAAGAAAAGATCACGAAGTAAAGAGAAGAAAAGGTCACGCAGCAGGGATAAGAGGTCCTGTAGCAGTGAAAAAATCACATGACTAGAAATAATTATACGTGTTATTGGTGACGTTTGTAAAATTGATTGTCAAGTCGAAGTGTGGGCGGGGTCTCAGAACGAAGAGGAGCTGCGGGCGAAGACGGAAGGCTGCAGGGATTATCCAGCTGCGGGTGAGTGTGGAGGAACGTGTGATAATTCTTTCAGCTATGATGAAACTGCGTGCAAGTCAAGAGCGGTTTGTACCGCGTCACACTCGGATGAGTGAGCAAACTCTGCTGCGGCTCAAATCGTTTCTGAGAAAGTCTCGTCGGCTCTTTGTGGTGACCGGAGCTGGGGTTTCCACGGAGTCCGGGATCCAAGACTACCGCTCTGACGAGGTTGGACTCTACTCCACGACAACCCACCGCCCCACACGGATAGCAGAGTTCCTCCGTAGCCCCGTTGCGCGGCAGAAGTATTGGGCTCGTAATTCTGTAGCTTGGCCACTGTTCAGGGCTTTCTCTCCAAACGTTTCTCATCACTTTCTCGCTACACTAGAGCGGAAAGGCCGACTGTATTGGCTTGTCACCCAGAATGTGGATCGTCTCCACCACAAGGCTGGTGCCACAAGAGTTACTGAACTTATGGAACAATGTTCACCGTCACCTGCCTGTCCTGTCTGCACTCACAGTCAAGAGACCAACTGCAAGCTCATATCACTGCACAGAATCCTGGCTGGAATCCTACACCAGAAGGTTTTGCCCCAGATGCTGATGTGTTTGTGTCTGATGCTGCCGTGAGGAAATTTTGTGCTCCAGTATGCCAGAAGTGTGGCGGTGCCCTCAAACCGGATGTTGTGTTCTTTGGAGACTCTGTCCCCCGCCGAACAGTGGAGTTTGTGAACCATAGATTGGCTGAGGCAGATGCTTGTCTGGTGGTTGGGACGTCACTGCAGACCTACTCTGCATTTCGCCACGTGCGACAAGCCCATGAGTTGCAGCTTCCAATGCTCATAATGAACATAGGTCCCACAAGAGCCGATGGTCTTGAGGATCTTCGCCTCGCTGTTCGTTCCGGAGAAGCATTTCAGAAACTATTCAACTCCGTAGACCATTGGTAGCTACAGTGTACTGCTCTTTTGTGTTGTGAGCCTCTACGATTGAACCTATAATTATTTATATTATTTTCAGGTTTGGATGATTACAAGTGTGAGAAGAGTTTTTCACTCTGGTGTGTTGCACCAAGCAGCCATGGACTTACGTTCACTAATTGGTTGTCTGGAAGCAGTAGTTCCTTCATCTCGTGCTGAGAGTTGGGACAATACTGGGCTACTGGTCGAACCATCTGGGAACCCTTCCGTTTCTCATGTCCTCCTCACCATAGACCTCACTGGGCAAGTTTTGGAGGAGGCCCTGGGAGTTAAGGCTGGGCTAATCGTGGCCTATCATCCTCCCATATTCCATTCTCTCAAGAGGTTAACCCAGGGATCTGCGAAGGAGAGAATCATTGTCCGTGCTCTAGAGAGTCGTGTGGCAGTATACTCTCCCCATACTGCCCTGGACTGTATGAAAGGTGGGGTCAACGACTGGTTGCTGGCTGGCCTAGGGCAGGGAAAGGTGGAAACCCTTTCAGTGTGCTCAGTTGCCCCGTCTCCCAACAGTACGCTCTCCATCTCGGATGTAGACAAGGCCACAGTTGATAGTGTAACCAGTGCTCTCCCAGGTCTACCACTTACCTGCAGCCCAACTTATTGCAGGTGCCACACTACACCTTACTTGTTTTGCACTACCAGCTCAATCCTGACTGCAGAGATCCTCAGCTATATGACCTCCAGCTCCTTTGTTCAAAGGAGGAGGTTTCATCCTTCCTAATGACCTTGAACACTCTAGTCCCAAATCATAAAATGTCACTCCGAACCAGACCACTGGTATGTACGGTACATTGCAGCAGCCCATCATTTTCTTCTATTGTACAGATTCCAGTGACAGGAGGAGGAAGGAAGCTTAGCTTAAACCAGCCAGTGTCTATCTCGGAGCTGGTCTTCCGTGTGAAGACCCACCTCTCCATTTCCCACATGAGACTCGCCAAGCCGCCATGCTGGAAGGAGGAGAAGAGGGTGACAACTGTGGCAGTTTGTGCTGGCTCTGGGGGTAGCGTTCTTGCTGGAACAGAAGCAGACGTCTACCTCACAGGCAATGCATTTGTGTTGTTGATGCAACTCCCTCGAAGTGCTGTGAATGTGCAGGGGAGATGAGTCATCATGATATTCTGGCTGCTACATCACGTGGGACAGTTGTGATTCTGTGTGAGCACAGCAACACGGAGCGAGGCTTCCTCAACCACTACCGCTTACTTCTCGAAACCAAAACCGGACCTGATGTTACAATTTCTCTAGCCCAGTCTGACTATGAGCCTCTTGTAGTTGCATAAGTGATAGTGTGTTTATTGCTGGGCACTTTTGCATGCATCCACCACCTTTATTGATGGGTTTGTTTACTGAAATAATATATGAAAAGACACCACACCTTAAATTTTACGAAGTCCACCAGTGTGTATATAATTTTGACACTGATTTTCACCAATAGTTGACTATTCAGTACTCTATAATATAGGCGCAGTTAACCTGCAGGTGATCCAGATCATTGGCTCTGGTGCCTCCTATCATCATAATAATACCCTACTGATGTATTACCAACGTTGGCAGGCACATTTTTCAACCTTAGACTTTTTAATGCATGGCCATGCAGTAATGGTAATGGGGCGTGTACGAAATGTATTTTAGTGTGTGTTGTATGTGACAGTGATTAGTCAGCATTCTCCGCTAGGGAGTGAGTGAGAAATCTGAGTCTAGTCTTGAGTGGGAGGTGAAGTGATGTCACCAACTGCTCTATCTCCTCCTTCTTCCCATGAGCATGCCCAATGTGCCGGTACTTGATGTGGTATCTAGAATTGACTCAAGGAATAACAGAGAGCTGTGTACGAGAGAACGGTGAGGTTTGTGGGGGATACAGAAAGTCACAGATTATGTCAGAATGCTGCAAGAGACCCTTCTGGCGCTGATCAACCACCTTCAACAGTCGGTATATCTCCATGACAATGTCCAGCAGGAGCTTGGGTTTCTCAGCTATGACTCTGTGCAGGATGGGTCCCAGCAACTGCAGGACATACAGCAGTTGCCCTTCATTGCTGACCACACCCCCTACTTGTAGCTGGAGCCACCTGCAAAAAAACAAGTGCAGGCCTTGTTACCTGCTTACCACTCTGAACACCACTCACTGAGGCAGAGCTAGCAAGAGCCCTAGGTTGCCATGCAACCAAAAGGAATGCATTAGGGAGAGGAGGCAGGATGGGGTGCCTCTAACAGGAGTTGGACTGACTCTTGTCTCTGGTCCCAGAGTCTCCAGTACTTTCAGGACACTGTCATACAGAACAGACTGGTAGCAGTCCTGCAGTGGGCAGCTGTACCGCTAGTATAGCACAGGGTATTACTGACCGGTAGAGATATGAAGATGAGAGCCAATGCATTGATGAGTGGCAGTACATCCTCATGAGAATCTTTGTCCTCAGCCATTGAGTAGAGAGCCTTGAGTAACTGGCATGCCACTTGTGTCCCGCCAAGTGGGAGGCCCAAGAGCTCCACACAGGCACAGGTGAGAGAGAGGGGTAGGGAGCCAGAGAACTCGCTGCACTGCCAGTCACAAGACGGGGCGGAGAGGCTGAATGGCTCCAGACCTGTATGAGAATGCAGTCAGTAACTCTTTTCTGCATGCCCAAATGCCGTAACTACCTTTCACCAACTTGTCCAGGAGACTGCGATAGTATTGTGTCGGTGGAGTCCAGCCAGAGACAGGCTCCACTGCACAGAGAAACTCACAGAACAACGGAGAGAAATACCTAGAAAGACAAACTTGAAACAACTAGAGGACTCTGCTATGATGACAGCACCATTTAAGATTGCGTATCCTGCGTTGAGATCCTATGTACAGAGAGAAGGGAAGACAGAGCCTATTACCCACCCATCTATGACCCCAGACCTACCCATGACTGTAGCTACCAACTTCTTCTTCAGTTCAGGTCTCTCCTGCAGACTCATCAGGTAGTAGTGCAAAGTGGTGTAGAGGTGGTTGGCGGGATGGGCTAGTGGCAGCATAACATAGAACACGCTCTGACACAGGGCAGCGGTGATAGGGAATTGTGTTGCTGACCGTGGAAGGCAAACAGACAGCCAAACTTGTCCAATGTCTCTTCCAGATGTAGTGCTGCCATTTCTGGTATCTCCAGGAGACGGTTCAAATACAGGCAGAGAACAGGCAGAAATCGGAAACAAACATTTCCTTGAAGAGACAAAAATAATGCTGATATCTAGTGCATGCACCAGAGGGTTAATTACCGAAGTACATAGTCATGGTGGAAGATGTAGTGGCAGGAACTCCAGGCAGTTCTGGATGAAAGGTCTCTGGGAAACTGTGCAGGAACTCAGTATGTATGGAGTGCCAGTTCTGGCAGTTCCAGTGGTCAGGTCTTACCTGCACACACACAAACACACACTCGCCCCAGAGATATTATATTGCTAGGGGGAAACATAGATGGTCCCTTTAACAACATGATTTCCATTTGGGTGCCCCATGCTCAGGTAGACAAATGAAGAGATAGAGGGACTGCACAAACCCTGCACACACAAAAGCACACTGTACCACAATAAACAATAAACGCAAACATTCTATATAGCATCAAAAAAGAACTACGTATTAACAAACAAAAACCTGTATTCTCACATTCTCCACAAGACTGGTTACTCTGGTTTGGAGATCTTGATTAGTGAGGAGCATGTTGTGGATGAGACTGAGACCAATGGTAGCATACCTGCCATCATACCCTCGCATCACCTGCAACAATTAATCATTGTACACTATGTCAGGGAAGGGATGTTGGCTGGCTCCTATATACCATGCAGAGGAGAAGTCTGTCCAGAGGGAATATGTGGTACTTCCACACCAGCTCATTGAGGTAGGCCACCACCTGCACATTATACCAACAGGGATCACACAATGCATAAACAGTGTGATGTATTTACGGACGGAATTAAACTGGGGGGCACTGGATGGAGAGGGACACGTGAAGACAATGTAGTCAACCATTTTTCTGGCATAGGCTGCCAACTTCTTGGCCTGTGTCCGTTGTACAATCTTAATACAAGTGGAGCTGAGAGTGCCAGTCTCCAGCAACTGCTGCCACAGAACACTGAGCTCAGGAGGGGAACGGTGGAGTAGACAGAGCAAGAGAGAAACTACACTTACCAGAGGAAGAGAGAGGCAGATTCAGAATCTGTGTAGGTCTGGATCAGCTCCCTCTCATTGGCCTTACCTGAACACAGCTCACACTACCACCTGCACAGACATACTGCTTCACATCTGTACATTACCTCTGGCCACATTGAACTTTCTGTACTCCTCTTCTGCCTTGCTTACCAACGCCACCTGCACTATTACACCGACAAAGATGGCAAGTTGGGAAAGCCAGTAACTCTATACTTGATAGTCTGCAGTGTGGAGTGCAGAGCAGAGCTGTCGCAGGCTAGCTGGGAAGAATCTGCTGGTGGCCTCAGGCCAGCTGCAGCAGAGAATGACATGCAATGGGAACATGGAGGAGGACCTACGAACCTCTGTGGGGCTGCAGTGAAGACAGCTCTCATGAAGGACTCAAGCCAGTTGGTGGTGTCCAGATCTGAAGAGGGACAGACAGTCTCCAGCCACAGCAGCTGTCAACAGGACTCACTAGAGATGTGCATGCTCTTGGCCAGCACACACACAAACACTCGGTTCAGTTCCTCACTCTCCTGAGACAGCAACTGTTGAGATAATATAATACTTTATATCCCAGCACATACTGCTTCACATTAGGCCTTACTGGTTTTGGGTCGCTGGCATACAGCTTAGCCAGCTGGAGGAGGAACTCTGGACTACTGAGACCCTGGATCAGACGCAGTGTCGTGTTCTCTGCACTGCAGCCAGAGGTGAGGGCCAGTCCCCAGAGCCTGAATCTTACCATACAAACAGCTGTGTGGGGATGATGGACACTCCAACCACAGTGTGGAGCTGCTGGAGGAGCTGGAAGCGGTAGGAGTACTGGAGTTGGAGGTGGACACGATACGCTATGACCTCCAGCAGTGCATGCAGCACCGGCCAAGCCTGACTCTTGAATACTGCTGGGATCAGGTGAGCTGCACACAACACATTCATTATTTGGGGCCTGCCACAGTACTGTCTACATGTGTATCACTGACTCTGGAAATTCCTGGTTCCCAGCCATATCAGCAGTCGTGAGTAGGTCTCGAGAAGAGCTGGAGTAATGGTGGGGGGGTGACCAGATGGCAGCTGCTTGCTCGCCTCAGCAACCTGCACCAAATGGTGTTTCACCTTGTCCATGAGTCTAGTGAGAGAAGAGTGTAGTACGACATTGGAGCAGATGGGGCCGCCAGACCTGATCTTGGCATGCATGGCAATGGTTGACAGAGAGCGAAGGGGGAGCATGCAGAGGTCAGGGGTGGTGCCAGACGAGGAAGAAGGTGCCACGGCGTCGATGAGGATATTGAGCAGTTTTGAACTGACTTCAGTATTGTTGCTATCTAGAGAACGGAGGGTGTCTGAGCTAAAAGAATACGAATGAACCATTTGACTTACAGACGGAGAGAAGGAGTGCCACGGTGTGGTCTGTGGAAAGATTGGAGGCAGGAGGTAGAGATTCACTTTGCTCCATCAGCCACCTGTACACACACACACCAGCTGAAGAAAGAATTTCAATACCACTGACTTGATCTGAGCAGTGAGGATGTAAGGAACAGGTCTCGGTAGCTCTACACCATCAGCTGCAGCCTGACACCAGAGAGAGAGAGCTCACTGAGGTCAACCTAAGAGAGAGAGGCTCACCCGACTGGAGTAGACCACCCAGATAGAGGCCATGGCGGTGTCCAGGACAGCCTCAAGTCTCGTGGGGTCCGGAGGAGGCAAAGGCTCTCGATCTGGGTAGAGGAGACTGAACAGGTTCAAGATTGGAACAAACTCTTTCTGCAGCTGTGCCGCTGTGCTGGTAGCTGATGGCTGGGGACGAACAGTAGGAGTAGTAAGCTCAGGTGAACTACCTACACATACTGTACCTGCTGTTGGGCTGGGAGCTTGCTCTGAACTGTGCTTGTGACAAAATGGAGGAGAGACCACATCAGCCAACTGCGACCTTTACGGCAATGACTGGACGACAGCTATAGGCGGACAAATGCTAGAGAAACTAGCGACACCCAAGTAACACAGACTTTCTGTCGTAGGAGGTTGATGACTGACGTGATGTTGATCAGCTGGAGGAAGTAGAAAAACACCAACTTGTTAGCGAGCTGGCTCCACACCTCCCGCACTCTCTCCTCCCCCTCTTCCCCCCTCTCCACATTCTCTACCATCTCCATGGCAACAACGGCCAAACGAACCAGTGCTTCCTCAACCATTGGACAAGGCTGCATTTGCTGTGAGGGAGTTTAGTAATGTATGGGATGGAGTGGGATGGGAGGTAAGACAGTGAACACACCTGTCTGTTCATGCCCAGCATGCTGTGAACTGCATCTCTGGAGTTTGGTTGGGCTATGACATGGTAGAGGACCTCCGTTTGGGGAGCCATGAACACCTGCAGACGGTCCTTGGAACTGTAGTACTCAGTCTTCCACAGGAGACCTACCTCTCCGTATGGCAGGAGACCCTCCATTGAGCAGCAGTACTTGTCTGGCTCAAGTTTCCAAGTGGTGAGAGACATGTTGGACACACTCAATACTGGTCTGAGGTAAGGTAGTACCACACCTGAAACCTACCGTTGTGTTGGAAGAGGAGGTACATTGTAGCAATTGGAGAACGGTAGGCCCCTATTTACCAGGTCAGCTAGAGTCTTCATGCTCATGTGCAGAGGAGCAATGGCCTCCTGGAGCAGCCAGTGAGGGGGGCGTGTCTTGTCCGGGTAGTGCCGGCAGATCTCATCATAGGCAAAGTAGGCAGGAAGGAGAGCGGCATTGCGGTCCAGAATGTAGGCCAGGAGATCTCTGCCTGCTGCCACAGTGGACAGCTGGGGGCTTGGCAGGCTGCGGGGAATGCGGTGGAACCGGTCAAACAGGAGTTTCATGAGGTCTCTGCAGCCCTGCGGAAGAGAGGAGGGAGATCAGACTGCGACAAGCTCTCTCGCCACACCTTGTAGTCCACCCCACCAACGATCTCCTTCACAGTCCTCAGAGCCTCTGCCCAGAATAAGAGATTGCTAGGGTCCAGATGGCTCAGCAGCTGCTCACAGACAGCCCTGGGAGGAGGAAGAAGAGTGGTGGAGTGGGGTAACTTAAGACAAGTGCAAACCTGCAGGCTATGATCCCAGAGGCAGAGAGAGAGGCCAGAAGAGAGAGAAGCCATCGCACCCTCTGGTGGTTTGTCTGACTGTACAGGTAGCCCACAAACTGCTGGAGCTGACCCATCTGGACCTCCTGATGATGGATAATGGCTGGCTATTTGGCTAGTTCTAGTCGCTACTCACGTGAGACGAGGTGGAGAAGATCATCCTGAGAGCCTCCTTCAGGTCAGCTGGAGGGTTCATTTCTGGTATCAGGACATGCTTTATGCAGCCGTGAAACGTCGTCTGCAGCTCGCTCTTAGCCTGTCAGCGGCACCATACTGACCTTACAGTGAATGGTTACAGAAACAGACTCACTGCATGTGCTTTAAGTAGCGCACGAATATCCACAATTCGCACGTCCTCGCCGCCGCTGAGAGCCGCCATCCTCAGCAGCTAGATGCGCACTAATTGGAGTTGCTCGAAGAGTGCGCACTAATTGGAGTTGCTCGAAGAAAAGCTATGGCTAAAGACACTGATTCGGAAAGGTGCGCCAAACTACTCATTTTATAGCTTCACTATTTTGTACATTTGTGATAGGAGAGATGGACGGGAGATGGAGTGGCTGTACAAAAGCCCTGGGGTTGACAGAGAGCAGTATCTCCTTGGCAGAAAGATTGACAGGCAGGTGGACCCTCTCCTTGCCTCAGAAGAGAGGGAGAAACAGGTCCACAGCCACTCTAGCCTTTTCCCCTAACCTTCTATACTGGCTGTTGTACCCTCAGGCTTTGGCCACTGGTCCAGGTGCTCTGTTCACAGGACCAAATGCAGCAAGCTCAACTGCTGACCTGGCCACCAAAGTCAAGGAAGACCCATTGTTTCTCATCAGAAAGAGGGAGGAGGAGGCACGGCGTAGACTTGCCTCTAATCCCGTGAAGATAAAACAACTGCAGCAGGTATGTTGGTATGATCTAGAGGCACATTTTCATCTTTTCAGTTCAGCTTTTGGCTGAAGAGAAATCTTCAAAATCAAAGAAGAAAAAAAGACATCGTTCAAGATCACCACACAAGGAAATGCACTCTGAACACAGGTTTTCATTATGAAGATTTTTCTCCTCCTCAAAAGTTGCATTTTTCAGGAAGTCCAAGAAATCTCATAAACGCAAGAGGTTCGCTGTCTTTCACTGTTTAACATTGTGGCAGCTATTACACTGTAGAGAGCCGTCTCCACGTGGCCCCAGTCCCTCCTCACCCCCCACATCACTGAGATATCCAACCTCCTCTTCCTCTTCCTTCAGACCATCTCACAGACCTCGCAACAGGTCGGCCGTGTCCACTAGTCTGCATATTATACTGACCCTTTATGATGTATATACCTCCAGTGGACTGAGTAAAGAGGAGTTGGAGAGGAGGAGGAAGGAGATGATGGAAGATGCAGAATCACACGGTCGCAAGAGGGAGCAGAGGCTGCGGAGACTGGAGAGAGACCACCAGAGAGAGGAGAAAGAAAGTGTGTCCTCTCACTCCAAGGACTTCCTACAGTAAGTCAGGGGTGTATCTGGTGGGTGTGGCAGTGGGTGTGGTTTTCTGTAGGCCACTGAGGGTCCAGTCGATGGCAGCAGCTAGCTCCGTGGAGGAAAGAATCCACAGAAACATTGGGTCAGTCCAACGAACTCGTACCAAACTTGATGGCAACTTTCTACACAAGTAACTGTATGGCATCAACCTCATTTTGATCTTTGACACAAGAAGATATTAAAATGCAAACTGGGTGATGATGCGGTCGTGAGATGACCAAAACATGATTCTTGATTTTAGCAATGTGGCATTGCTGCTGCAACTGATGAAAGTGCTGGTGTGGGTATGTGGGTGTGTTGGGGGAGTTACACTGTGCTACTGGACGGAGGCACAAACTGGATCATCTCCTTGTAGATCAGCTCTGCAATAAATATAAATATCGGGGGAGTGGTTCCCAGTCAGCTTCTCAAAGAACACTAACCCTTTAGTTTCTCCTTTGGAAGGTCATCCAACTCGGTTTCAAAGGTAAAGGGTTTATCTGCCACTGGCTGCAGAAATAGAATGTTAGTGGAGAGATGGTATGGTAGACCAGACCTCATCCTCGGGGTCGTAGTACTGCTCGAGGTAAGGGTGGGCCAGGGCTTGCTCCACTGTGATTCTCCTGTTTGGGTTGAAGGTGAGCATCTTGTCCAGCAGGTCCAGTGCTGTGGGCGCCAGCCAGTGAGAGGAATTACCACAGGGTCATGACTGAGTTCAGGAGCGAACCTTTATGGTCTGCTTTGGGGAACAGTCTGCTCCATGGCTGTGTTGGCTTGTAAGGTAGAGCCTGGAGGTAGCACTTTGCCTGCAGTGTGCTTAGGATGTGCATAAATCACAAACCACATCAACATACCTTCTCATTAGCAATGCAGTCCAAGTCTTCCTGTGAGGGAGAGCCCACCACATTAAGGATGTGATTTAGCTGGTCAAGATCTGTGCTATCAGTCAAGGACACACATTTGAACACAAAGCTATGGTGAGCAGCTATAGCTGGGGAGCTGCAGTGGAAGGATACAGTGTTTCCCTGGGAAGATGGGTCTGTTGGAGAGCATCTCCGCCAGGATGCAGCCTACAGACCAGATGTCAACTGAAGACAAGACCATCTGTTACTCAGAGACTCAGTGGCAGATGAGGGCTCTCACTTGACTTGGTATAGCCCTTGGAGTTAAGCATGATCTCAGGAGCCCGGTACCACCGAGTGGCCACGTACTCTGTCAGAAATCCTGTGTGGTCGTGCTGAGGATCAGCAATGCGAGCCAAGCCAAAGTCACAAATCTAGAAAATGGTGGAATGTGAAAAAGAACTAACAATTGCCTCATATTCACCTTCAGGTCACAAGTAGTGTTGAGCAGTAGGTTGCTTGGCTTCAGATCTCTGTGGAGGACGTTGGCTGAATGGATATACTTGAGACCACGCAAGACTTGGTAGAGAAAGTAGCACACATGGTCGTTGCTCAGGTGCTGTGTCTTGAGAAGTTTGTACAAATCTGTCTCCATCAACGTCTGTATGATGTAGCTGGTCAGCTAGTGAGTAAAGGAACCTCAGACGGAAATGAAAGGGAAGGAAAAGGGGGCAGGGGGTAACATGTGTGGGGTGGATACACATCCTTCATGTCCGCGAGGCTGGGAGGTCGGAGGATGTCCAGGATGTCAATGATCTGCAAATGTTTACCTCATCATTATCGCCTCCCTGTACCTACAGACCTACTCACATTCTCGTGTCTGAAGCCGGTCAGAATCTTGATCTCTCTCAGGGTCCGCTGGCAGTAGGTCTGGTGCTCAAAGGGACTGATCTTCTTGATGGCCACTTTGGTGGCAGTCAGGTTATCACGAGCAGAGCTGTCAGGAATGGTGGGACCATATTCATCGTCATTATCTGCTGCCATCTATATGGCCACGCCCCCGGATAGATCCACTCACCATACCATACCGTAGGCACCCTCCCCAATGTAACACAAGTCGGAGTAGCGAGGACCGACTGCGAACGTCTGGCCGCGAACGAACTCCGGCGGTGGCTTCCCTATAGCGATGGCCATAGCAGCTAGTCAGTACACGCGCGCACCGCAGCTATAGCGGCCTGATCATCCGAGTGGGCGTGGCCACAGTTTGCAACAATGTCATGTTCACACAAAAATAAATTTAAATATATGTGGCCAGACAGAAAGATGCCAATAGAATGCATGATTGTCATGACGACTGGAGGTAATTGCAGCAGATCAGGCCAGCCAGAAAGATCAGTCTTATCTTTGCTGCAATGGCATATCATTATGCAGACATCATCATTTCAACATTCAACTCACAGGCAGTCGCTTTTGAGTTTCATCATATATCATTTCTACCAAATGAGAGAGAAGCATAACAACAAAAAGAGCACAGCGGATATCACATACTCTTGAGCTTTTCTTTAGGAAGGTCATCTAACTCCGTCTCAAATGTGAAGGGCTCATCGGCTATTGGCTGCAGAATACAAGGGGCTGAACTATGCCTCGACACACACTAACTGATATTGAATACCTCATCATCAGGGTCATAGTACTGCTCCAAATAAGGATGAGCCAGAGCTTTCTCCACCGTGATCCTCTGGTGAGGGTTGAACGTTAGCATCTTGTCAAGCAGGTCAAGAGCTGTAGAGAAGGAAAGATAAGGTTAAGGCTGTAATAATATGAACTGTGGAGTGTCCCCTCACCCATGGGGTCCGCCGTTGAGTATAGCTTGGCCCATGGCATAGCTGGTCGTGGGGGAAGACTCTGTAGATAGCGCCGCGCCTGGAGGGACAGGTGAAAGTGAGGCCGAGAGTAATTCGGCTGCTGTGAGACTGCACCTGATCACTGGTGACGGATTTGAGGTCGTCGTCAGAAGGAGAGCCAATGACATTCAGAATGATGTGGACCTGGTCAAGGTCTGCAGAGGACACACGGCTAGAGGATCTGACCCAAAACTTGGTCATTACGTACAATGTTTTCCAGGGAAGAGTGGTTTATTGGAGAATAACTCGGCAAATATACAGCCCACAGACCACACGTCAACTGGACAAACATATCCACATAATCTTTCACAGAGCATCCAAATGTTTTATTTGTACACCCACTGGCTTTGAAGTATGCCTTTGGGTTGAGCATGATCTCGGGAGCCCTGTACCACCGAGTGGCTACGTACTCAGTCAGCATTCCCTTGTGGTCGTGCGTCGGGTCTGCCACTCGTGCCAACCCAAAGTCACATATCTATGTGAGGAACACACCACTTGTCACATTCACACACATTCTGCACACAATGTGAAGCCATTTCCAACACAATACCTTCAAGTCGCACGATGTATTCAGGAGGATGTTGCTTGGCTTTAGGTCACGGTGGAGAACATTTGCTGAGTGAATGTACTTGAGCCCTCGCAGGATCTGGTAGACAAAGTAGCGGATGTGGTCTGCACTTAGCCTCTGGGTCTTGAGTAGTTTGTGCAGATCAGTTTCCATGAGAGTCTGTACCATGTACCTGAGGCAGAGTCAAGGAAGACATGCAACACAAGAGGCTGCTGGCTGCAAGCACTACACCCAGTCCCAGTGGACACGGACTAATTAGGACGGATACACATCCTTGAATTCCTCAAAAGACGAGGGTGGCAGGAGGTCGATGATGTCAATGATCTGAGGGAATCACACATTCCGAGGGTTGAAATGTCAGCGTACTGAGTGTTTAGCTCACATTTTCATGTTTGAAACGGTTGAGGATCTTGATTTCCCTCAGAGTACGCTGGCAGTAAGTTTGGTGTTCAAAAGGGCGTATCTTTTTGATTGCCACTTTCTTCTTAGTTTTGCTGTCCAGTGCAGAACTGCAGTGTGGCCCCAAAAGATAACTATACACACTTCACTACGATGACAATTTGTATATATACACGTACAACTTCAGCTACACGCCCTTCCGCTGCATGCTCGGGCCTGGTGCGGTGTTTGTCACCTCAGTATAATACATGACTGGACTCACCACACCATGCCGTAAGCTCCTTCTCCAATGTATTGCAGTCCAGAATAGCGAGGACCAACGTCAAAAGCTTGGCCCCGCACTATATCAGGCGGAGGTTTCCCTGCCATTAGTTCTATTCGCTCCAACTGACACAGAGTCCTTCTTCGCAAAAAATTTAGGCTTTCTGGACCAAAAGGAAATTTCCGGTGTGGTGGGTGTGGCTAATTCTCACTTCCTGGAAAGTGTGCGCATGCGCGTGCACTGTATCACGTATACAGTACGTAAACAAAAGCTAGGCCTGCAGGTATGGTAAGAGTGGACGACGACGGAGAGGAAGAGGCTCGCTGTAGCTTTAATTGATTGCCGAACTGTCCACTGACGAAATGGGCAAACGAAAGGTTGAAGAGTTTTTGCCGGACGAGTGTCACCGGCGATATTGCTGCGTCCACTGTAGAGCGCACTTGGCAAATCACGACGAACTCATCTCCAAGGTTTGCTTGTCTGTAGAGACAAATGCCGTTGCTAACAGAAACTACTCTCGGAATAGTCATTCCAGGGAAGTCAAGGGAAAGCCTATCTCTTCAACAAAGTGTGAGTTGCTGTTCTGTGACACAGGCAGATTTTACTCCAGCGACCATTACATACAGTGTAAACATCAGCTGTGGACGAGCAGAGGAGAGGTTCTTACTCACTGGCCTGCATGCTGTGGCAGACATATTCTGTAGCTCGTGTAAAACCACACTCGGCTGGAAATATGTGAGTCCAGCTAATGTGTAAGGCAGTTTTGTTGATTCTGAAAGTGTGTGTGTATACCTAGTTGTAGTTGTGGGGAAGGGGATCAAACTATGACAGCAGCTGTACTGGTCATGTGGCATGCAGTCTCCCTTGGGAATGTAGGTCATCTGTAACAAACACACCACAGAATCCAGTTCCGATTTCAGATGTTGTAGTCTAGAACTGGAATTTTGTGGGACTCTAGCAACAAGCATGCCAATAGTTGGGAGGATGTAAACAGGTTTTGGAGGCCAAAGCCCCAGCTGGAGGCTGCCCTCTGCCAATCTACCCACTCACATAAACCTTCACTGCCTGCATATATGGAAGTGTTGGTATACAGCCTTGTCCCATGCTGGGTGAGCAGTTGCCAAGACGGTGTTCCACCTTGTCAGGCCAGCATTAGAGACAAGGCCAGCAGCAGCCAGTACTGCTACAAGCTACCACTGTACATCCTCCAAACACTGCTCCAGTTATAGCAGTACTTGTTTCTGGTGTGAGTCACTGCTGTGTTCCTCTGCCTCCCACAGGAGCATGCTTTTGAGGCCAGCCAAAAGTACAAGGAAGGAAAGTTCATCATAGAACTTGCTCACATGGTCAAAGACAATGGCTGGGACTAAGCCTTGCCTCTTCTCCCATCACTCATGTTTTTACTCCTCATCTCATTCTCCTGGCTCATTTCATCCTCACACCCCAGCAGTTTGTGTTCAGCAATGTCTCCAATACATGCATGGCAACTTTGTGTTGTTTGCCCAAACCTTGTGTAATCATCCAATAAGTGTCTGTTCTGCCATGTAACAGTGTGTCTCTAATGTACTCTGTTTGTGTCCATGGCAATTATCAGTGTGCACTTGTTGGACTTGGGCATGCATAGCAGATAAAGGGAAGCTGACTGTATATACAAACATTAGTGCCTTCACAAAGGAAAGAATAGGTGTTAAAAGAGAAGGGAGGAGCTACCAGCCACTAAAGTCCCCAAGAGTTGATCTGATCTTTGTCTTTTTGCTGAGCTGGGGAGGAGGGTCTGTGGACTGCTGTTTTCTCTTGCTTCCCACAACAGAGGTCTTGGGGATGTAGCGACCCACTCCAGCATGGTAGGCTTTGGGCTTGGCACCCTCTCTCTTCTGTGGCCATAAACAAGTTCTTCCCTTCACACCCCACAGCTATTCTTCTTACCAGACCACTGGTACTGGGCTGCTCTTCCCCAACTGCGGCCTTCTCCTTCTCTTCCTCTGCAACAAGCTGCGGGACACTATAAGAGACCAAGAGAAATTAAGATCTATTCCCACCTCCTCCTCTGCCTCTTCGAACGGGTCCATGAAGACTGATGTTCTGAGAATCTTGATCTCCTCACGAGGACGATCCTCTTCGTCAGTCTCCACAGCCTCCATCCCACCCAACACCTCCATACCTCCTACTACCCTGTGAGACAAGGTCACAGTTCAACTGAGTGACATACAACAGCTGTATGTATGGTGTGTATGCATGTGTATGATGAATGTACGTATGTACACACCCACGCACACACAAGTACATATGCACATATGTACCTCCCAAACACTGTGTGTTTGTTGTCCAGATGTTTGCAGGATCGATAGGTGATGAAGCTAGGTTGGCAAAACATGCAGTGGTACAGAGTCATTAGAGAGAGGTGCACTCACAACTGAGAGCTGTTGGTGTTCTTGCCGCTGTTAGCCATGCTCACCACTCCCCGACCTGGACACACATCAGGGAAATGAAACTCTTATTTCCTATTATGCACTCACCAGAATGAGAAAGATTAGGTCGAAACTCATCCTTGAATGGCTTTCCCCAAATGGACCTACCACCTTCACACACATCGCCACACCAAGCCTCAACAAATTAATAGCTGAAACTGAGAGTAAAGATTCTAACCTGTACCAGTCCCAGTTGGATCACCTCCCTGGATCTGTGAGTGTGTGGGGGGGGGGTAATATAAAACGAAAGAAACAGGGAAATTATTGAACACACCATAAAGTTGCGAATGGAGCGGTGGAAGATGCAGTTGTCATAGTAGCCATCTCCACAGTGTCTAAGGAAGTTCTCACAGGCCAGAGGTACCTGGAGGCCAGGGCAGCTTGTCTAGACCAGGACTGTAAGGACACTCACCATTCCACAGTGCAGCTCCAGGTTAAGGTCTCCCATTGATGTGTGGAGCCTCGCGTACCCTGCACCATTGGCGGAACATTGAGACACACTACCTACAGATCATTCCCCTGGCCCACCTTTCTTCTTGACCTTGGCATAACGGAGGGAGTCCCTGTCAATTATGGCTGCCTCATTTTCTGTGACTGGAGCAGTGGCTGTGGACGTGAAGCTATGAGCCACAGCTCCAGTAGAGTAGTGAGCCTGGAAACATACAAGTCAGTCCAGTGTAGATACCTACTTCAACTGATCACACCCTCACCGCTGTTCTGGCTGTGGCTTTCTGCTTTCCTTTGCTCACCTTTACCTTCTTCTCCTGCAACACCTAGCAACAATAATAAATATGGAGAGGGTCTAGTGAACCTTGAACTCGTCTTGCTGGTAGAGCTGTTCCAGAGTTGCTCTTGTCTCAGGATTTAGCATCTTGAGGTAGTAGGTTGGTTTTTTTCGAGCTCTCTCCTCCTCTGATTGGCACACCATCACACCATTACCGCACTCACAGCACACCACCTACCTTCTTCCCCCACTGAGAGACTGTTCTTGAGGTGGTGGAAAGATGACATGTTGAACTTGCTGAGGTCTGTGGGGTCTTGCAGGGTCACCAGATCTGCCTTTGTGAATGGTTGGTCTGTTAAGAGGTCTCGCATGTTGCGAGGTTTTAGGTTCAGTCTCTCGACTGCCTGGGCAAGAAAACAACTGGACAATACACTCACTCTCTGTATGGGCCAAGGAACTCACCTCCATGCAGAACACATTACCAGTGGTCTTAACAGCCACAATATGTGTGTTCTCGTTGAACACCTTGTAGGTGACAGGGCAGTGGAACTTCCCTGAGTGACCAGCGCACACACTGACTATACTTCTCACACTTCAATAAAACTAACCATCTGCATTCTTGTGGAAGGTGAGCTTGAACAGAGACTTGGCTTGTAGAGGCTGTGGGAAGTCATGAGGCTCTAGAACTGCATGTCCACTACTAGATACGACTGTATATACCTCTCCAGTCAGGGGATGATGGGCATACTTCTTGAGATATGGGACTATGTTCCTGTAGAACAAGAACTAGTAGCTACTGCCGACACACTAGTTAGTCTAACATGAGGTCAAAGACGTGCCCATCATCAGTACAGAGAGGAACCTCAAAAGGCTGCAGGGACAGGGCACAGCAGTGGAAGGGAAGTCGTCTGAAACCTCGTTTGCTTCCATGCTCTGTGATTTGGTTAGCTTCAACCCCTGAAATACACCTACTCACACTAACCAACTTTCTTCCCTCCATAAAACTGAGTCCACTCTGAGCATGTCAGATACCTACAAATGTATTGTTCATCATTTTGTTTAACACAGCGACCACACACACATCTTATCTTTCTGATGCTGTCGCTTCCCCATCGTATCACAGTCACCAGCTAGCTACTGGCTGGGCCGGCCGACTTCACCGCAAAAACAACGCAAAACGACCTCTGAACCGAGCCACTAATATGCATGCGCATGCGCACGTGTGGGTGAGTTACGTCAGGTTTGTAATCTTCGTGTGTTTACTCTGTAATCTTACTGTAGACTAGTAATCTTACTCCGTACATTTACCATAGAGCTAGTAATCTTCCTCGTAATCTTACGCAGTATGAAGAGCTACACTTGGGCATGCGCAATAGAGCACATGTGCGCATGCTCATTAAGAACCATGTGCGCATGCGCAATAGGTATTGTGTGCGCATGCTCGGCGCATGCGCAGGATGAACAGCTACACTTGGGCATGCGCAATAGAGCCCATGTGCGCATGCTCAGTAAGAACCATGTGATCCACACGTGCGCATGCGCAGTGAGCAATGCGAGCGCATGCGCAATGAGCAACGCGAGAGCGGCAAGGTAACCGTGCGCATGCGCAGTATGAACAGCTACACTTGGGCACGCGCAATAGAGGCCATGTGCGCATGCTCAGTAAGACCATGTGCGCATGCGCAATACGAATTGTATGCGCATGCTCGGTGATCCACACGTGCGCATGCGCAGTGATGATAACGTGCGCATGCGCTTAAATACACGTGCGCATACGCGTACGCTGTGAGCAGCACTGGGTGGGCAGTGAACAACTAATAATCTTGCTGGTCAGGCTACTCCGTTGACTAAAGAATGTCACCAGCGCTACACTTATGATTTTACATACTCTAAAAGTTACAGCTAGTGAAGAAGTCAATATTACAACGGACGTCTGTCGAGTCTGGCGATGTCTATTTCTATATAGCTCGTGCCAAAATCTAGCGAGAGACGGTGCAGCTCAGCCCATCGATTACCAGGACAGATTTGCGCATGCGTGTAGGGAAAATTGAGCTTCGCTCGAACAGTACAGTGGGCTTGCAGCTTCAACTACGCCCACTTTTCCGTGCCTGCAGCCTGCCAATAAGAGACGCGATTTTTGTTTTGAAAATGAACATTCTGCAAGGAATATGCAGAAAGGTAAGCTTTTTCTTTGCCCACTATAACTTACTCCTCTCCTGACAGGTTAGTTTGCCAGTCCTGGCACTAGCTGCTCTTGGATGGCTGGTATTTGTCGTGGATTTGGAGGCTTCAACAACGGAGATAACTAGTAAAACATTACCATGAGTCTTTGTACAGTGGCAAATGGCTATTGCTTTTTGCAGCTACAATGAAATCAGGAGGGACCACAGGTACAAGCTAGAAGATGGAGTAAAATTGAATCTGGGCTTCTCAGAGTCTGCAAACGAGACAATTGAAAAGAACTTTCCTGCCCAGAGAGCTGATGCTGACTACTTTGCCTTCTGGTGCTACACCATCTCCTGCCCAGTTGCACTGGTGACTCTGGTCCTACATCTCTTTCTCCACAACCTCTACATCTTCGGAGTCATTGTAATGCAGCAGATCAGTGTGTGTCATAATTACCTCTACCATTCCTTCCAGGGTCACATACTGCTGGGTCTCTGTCTTGTCAGTGGTGGAGGTGTGTTCTGGGGAGACGCTCGTCTGCTATTCAGTGAAGATGACAATCTTCAAGAGCAGTATAGCTTCCCTGAAAACTGGCGCTCTGACACCTACTATGGACTGTGGCTGGTGGTGGAGTGGGTCGGAGTGTTTGCTTGCATGCTGGCACTGGTCAGTGACAAATAACCAAACCTGAGTTGCACTGAAAATTCATTTTCTTGGCCACTTTTTAGATGTTCTACGCAGCACTCTTGCCATTCTACACCTCCTCTTGCAAGAAAGGCAGACAGAATGAGGTAGAGGATAGCATTCTCTGTTCCCATGGACCAGGCTAATTACTGCTAATTACTAATTATTCATGGCCGGTGTGTTTCTATCATGCAGGAAGGCAGGGAGATAAAAGAGATCTAGGGCCACACCTTTGAACTGTATTCTTTTGTTACTCTGTTGGCATTTTCCAATGCTAAACTGCAACGTAGATATTATACAAAGTAATTATGTCACGAACCTTTGTTACTCACTGAAACATTGTGTATGTTGTAGCTAGCTAACTTGTCGTATTTATTCTGTATTTTGCTGACACAATGCATTAATAACAAAAAAGATTGAAGGACAGGATTGGAGCTCAGCGAAACCGTTACTCTTAGCCCTAGATCGATCATCCGCCACTAAGCGGATCATCCATTGCGCATGCGCGAGCGGTCCACAGTGATTGCGGTGACGTCACACACATAAAGCGCCTATTTTTAACCCTCGGCGCGCTTTTCATTATTATAGTTGTCCACTGAACTTTGTTCAGAGATCGATTTGCGCTAGCCAATTCCGTTTCACGCAAAATGAAGGTTATGGGTGTGACGCTAATGGACGGATGGGCAAGAAAGGTTAATCTTATGCAGTTCTGCATTTGCCACTGCGCAAGCTAGAACCTTCTTCTTAGGTGGGGCTGGTTGCAGTTGGTGCGTCGCTGATCGGGTGGCTCATCTTTGTCATTTGCTTTGGGAGTTTCAACAACGGCGACAATTTGTGAGTTGCTCATAAAGCAGAAGATTGACAGCTAGCTATGCTATACCTGCAGTTACAATGACGTTCGCGAGAATGGTAGGGTGAGGGTCCGTGCGGAGGCCTTCGAGCCCTTGAAGAAGACCTTTGGGCCCTTGGGCTCCGGGGCCCCGCCGGCCGTTCAGGCCCTTCTGTTCCTAGCTCAAGCGGCAGGCGGCGAGGACGTAGAACTTCCAATCAATGGGCTGATATCTGAGCAGGAGGTGGAGGAAGATTTCCCAAAGAATCGAGCAGACAGTGACTTCTTCACCTTCTACTGGTTTGTGGTGGTCTACCCTATTGCAGCTCTGCTGACTATCGCCCACCTGATCCTGCACGTGTACCTGTCCTTGGCTTCATCCTCTCTATAGCTGTATCCTCTCAATTGAAACTGATTTGCTGTCTGCATGTTTGAATTTTCAGAGATTTTCCTTGACCTGTGGTAAAGGCTCACTTCCTGCTCACCCTCACCTTGGTGTGTGGCTCTGGGGCGTTCTGGGCGGAGGGGAACAGACTGTTCAGTGCAGACAACAACTACCGCAACGAAGTCAACAGCATGGCTCCACTAGATATAGAGGTAGTTCCTAGAGACTGGATGGCTGACCCTTATTGGGGTGCCTGGCTGGTAGGCGAGTGGGTGGGTCTGCTCATCACAGGCATCTGTGTGGTAAGGTCTTCGCAGATTGTTCTTCCTCTGAACCATCTCCCTCTCTCCCCAGATTGCCTACTACACCATTTCTCCCTTTTTTACCAATAAAACCAAGTCTCACAGCAATTCAACTGACTCTTACGAGGTTCATAGTCCTTTCTCTCTATACCCCCACACTACATGTTTCATAAATTTGCCTCTCACACCTGCAGATGAAGGCCTAATCAACTGAGAGCAAAGGCGACGTTTGAATAATTGTGGAGAAAAATCAAGACTATTATTATACCTATTCCCGTGTGTGCCACTATAGAAAAAGTTTTATGACAATTTTATCACAATTCTGTAGTGTCTTGTTATAAAGGCGGTTCATAAAATTCCCTACAGTACAACTGCTCAGCTAAACTGTCACTGGCTTCTTCCAGCTCACTGCATACTTCTGACACCACTTCCTCCAACAGCAGGTCTGCCAGCCTGTGCAGCCAACAGCAGTCAACACTGGCCACCCCACAACGTAACCCTACCTCTCTATCTCCTCCATTGCTGTGGGTGGGTAGGTCTTTGTTGGTAGTGCCCTCCCAGCCAGGAGCTCTGCTTCAGCTGGACCCCCTCTCCCTCTCCCTCCACCCTGGTGGGAGGGTTGGGGGTGGAAGGTGTTTGCTGCCACTGGTGTAAGATCATATCCTGGACCTCCTACATAGTTTAGGTTTAGACGGCCAGGTGACCTCAAATCACAATGCCACCACAGAATGCTAATACTGCACATACCTCCATGGTGTTTATAGTGGTTGTCATAGAAACTAGGTGTGGTAGTGAAGGTCTGGGATTGGGGAAGAAACTACAATGGTTGCAGTCCTATATATGACAGTCAGTCACAACTTACCTTGACAGCAGAACTGAGGGACACTGAGGTGCCTTTAGTGGAGGGGAATTGAGGGGAGGAGATGGAGTAAAGTAGGCAGAGTGTGAAGATTGTGAATAAGTGAGGTGTGGAGTAGGATCAGGGTGTGGGGGCAGAAGATGTGAAGACTGAGGTGAAGCTAGTTGTGGAGGTTGAGTATGTTCTGGGTGTGCAGATGGTAGTTCACTGTGTGAGGAGGCAGGGTGTACAGGTGGAGAGGGAGCATCTTGTGGTGGTGTTGAATTAGTGTGTGGTAATGGGGTGATAGGTGAATCTGGAGGCCTCTTGTCAATAAACTGCTCATTCGTCCCTTCTAGCGTCCCTGTCTTCTTTCTTTTCCTCTTCAATTGTTTTCTAGAGGAGGTGGAAGAAAGTTTTCCCTTGGCTCTGGAACAATATTTCTTAGTTTTGTGTCTTTGATCTTTTGATTGCGGCCTAGACCCCCTATTTTCAACCTGTGTTTTGGGGGTTTTAGTTAGTTCTCTGGCACTCCTGAGAATTTCTGAGTACATCTGCTAGTAGGAGGGGGAGGAATGTGTGACAGCAGGAAGACTGGCACACCCTAACTTGTGCCAGGGCGAGGAGCTGGCGGCTCTGACTGTCTCCACACAGCTGAGTCAGCAGGTCCAGCAGGCCACTGGGCAGGCAGCTCCTGCTGGCGGGGGAGAAAGAGTGGAGAGTCCTGGTTGCTGCTCTGCGAGCCGCAGCAAGTCTCTGGAGGTGGGAGGACACAAACATGAACATATTCATTCTGTGGACCTGGACAGGAATGAGCTATATACATGTACAGTAGGGTGAGAAATTCCAGTGACATTGTTTGCATAGCTAGTAATAAACTGTTAATTGGTCAATGTGGCAGTTAGCCAAAGTCACTTACTGCAGTAGCCTTCCTGCCACCTCTGACTGGTACTCCCTGGACTGCAGAAACCTGAACACACAAGTCAACACCAGCACACACACAGTAAGGCAGGGAAACCAACTGTGGCTATGGTGAGTGTCTGGAGACACTATACTTTGTACACCTGGACCTGACATGTAGATAAGTGACAATGGTGCACTTGTGCACAAAGTACAAACAAAACAATTAACTCTCAAGGTGTCAACACCACTTACACCTGTAATTGCTTCAGGCTGAAGCCACCTACAATAGGAACTAGTTGGAGGCCCACCTGCCGATGAAGATCATACAGCTTCCTAGCCATGAGGGACACTTGCTCTGCTGCTTTCTCTCTCTCCCTCTCCTCTTCCTCTTCCCCTCCCTCCCCCTCCTGCTCACGAGCACAGAGTTCTTGGAGGCGCTGGACCTGTTTAGCCAGAGCCACCTTCAACTGAACATGGTCACTGGTTTCCTTTCCGTCTGCCTCTCGCCCACCCTCCTCCTCTCCTGCTGGCTGAGTGACAATATCATCTTCAGCAGACTCTGCGACAGGCTCTGTGGCTGATTGGCACTGAGTAACTCCACTCTTTGACGGTGGTCTCTTCCTAATCACAGCAGCTTCAGAAGTGGCTTCATCTGACTCTGCAGGGACTTGGACCTGAATCTAGCGAATTAATTAAGACACGAGGGTGGACCCTTAAGCAATTAGCTGAGGGAAATCCTTATTCACACTACCTCTGGTAGACTCTGTACCGAGTACTGTAAGGCTCCGCGAGCTAGCAACGACCTCTGCAAGTCCCTGCGAGCGAGTTTCACGGCCAAAGCCAGCCTCTCGCTCGCTCCTGACCTCCCCACGCATGCTCCATGGAGTGATAAAGGTAGAGGGTGACAAGGGAGACGAGGAGCAGGGAAAGAAGAGCCTGGGGCTGCACTTGTAGCAGACATTTCAACACGCTGCAACCCTTTTCTATTTAGTGCGCACCCGTAACCCATGACAACCAAACATGGATTCCGGCGGCTATGCCGCGGGTGCTGGTGCTGGGCCTGCGTCTCGCTCCCAGCTCCCAGGCTGGGTTAAGAGGAGGTCTCACTGGACTGGCCGCCGTGAAGGGAATACTCTACAGAGATATCAATACACCGTTACCAGTGAGTGACTTCTCCATATGCCAGTAGCTATAGCTATTACCGAGGTGCAGGGGAGCAGAGGAAGAATTCACTGGAGAGAGGAGAGGACAAAGAGAGAACGGCTGGAAGAGAGTCTTCTGCTCCTTAGGCAACACCACAAGGAGACGTTGGAGCAGCTCCACTCTGAGGCTGAGAGGCTCCAGAGGGAAAACAGAGGTTCTTCCTTATCTGTGCAACTGCAGGTTGACTTTCATGTGACATGCTGCAGAGTTGAGTTTCCGTTTGATAATGTGTCGCTGTGAGCAGAGGGCTTCTTCCCCTCCTAGTCTCGATCTCCCCACTGACAAAAAGGCAGCTGGTAAGCCATAGACTTTTACGAATTGTGATGTGCTTGTTGCTAGATACACTGCATGTCTCATGAGACTAGAGAGCGAAGTACGTCAACTACGACAAGCTCTGGCTGAGGAGAGGCACAGAAACAGCAGGATTCTGGAGATGCTGCAGAGCCAACTACAGACGGATGAGGTGGAGGGAAGCTCTCGGGAGAACGGCCAATTAATCCTCGAAGGGACTGACCAATATCAACACCAAGTAATTGTAATCTGGTATACATACTGCTGGGAATACAGTGTGGATTGCCCACAGGGGAAGTCAGGTCTTCACCCGTGCGCACCTGGCACTAGTCTGGAGGTGAGGGCCAACTTCTGCCACCGAGACAAACAGGAGAGTAGTCAGGCAGGGAATGACTACATTAAACTGCCAGCTCTGCAACCCAGACTCCCTGGGGTGTGGCTGAGAGGCAGAGGAGACGACAGGCCATGCAGAAGAGAGTCTCCAGAACTCGTCTTCCTCCTCTGCAGCCTCTGACTTAGTCTCTTCCACAAATACACACACACACACACCACACCACTAAATTATGCACTCAAAATGATGTGCACTGTTCTCTGTTTTATGATCAGTGTATCAGGGAAGCGAAATTAGCTGTTGATTGTAGCATAATCGTCGCTCCTTCCAGGGTACTTCAGTAGGGGCCACAGGACCAGAGACAACCACTGTTAGTAGTTTGAATACTCATGATTAGAGGCCTGCTAAAATGAGAGACTCCCTCACCATGAAAATTCCAGCCACAACAGCTCCCACAAACTCAATGAGGAGGTAGAGCTCAAAGTCGTCCTGGTGGAGGAGGGCCGGGAAGCTACCGTCACAGCTGGTGTCTCTGCTGACAAACTGAAGAACAGCTCCCACCACAGCCAGGAACAGAGGAGCCACACCCATCACCTGTTGGTCCACTTGTTAAGCTCATCAACTACACCAATGGATGGACAGGGAAGAGAGGAGATTGAGGATACAACAACTGAGGAGATTTTGTTTCCCCACAGCAGGTGAAGGAAGAAGATAAAGTAGAAGACCAGCCCACACATAGCAAGCAACCAGTGGCTTGTGAACGTTGACTTGGCCACTGAGCCTTCTCTGAAACAGTAAGCCTTTTCGGATGTTTAGCTAGAACTGAACACTTACTCCGAATTTCGAATTCCAAAACCAGTGACGAAGACCACCCATCCACAGGCCGACAGAAACACCAGTACTAGAGACACCTTATACAGCAGACGATTGACACAGGGTTCCTCACGGTTGGCGGAACTAACCTTCCTTGCTGGTCCTTCCAACATCTCGTATCCACCCACCAAACACGCAGCAGCAGCGTAAAAGCCACGCCCACCAGACCATGAGCACGCATGCGCATGATCGGCTGCGCGTGGACCGGACTTTTTATCTCTGTACCGAGAAGCCTCCAATATGGATGAAGTAGAAGGAGGTAGGGATGGTAGGATTTGGAAAAAAACATGACTGGTGTATATACACTGCAGGCAGTGAGGAATCACTAATCTGTGAGCTGTGCAAGGTCCACCCCACCTCATGTGAGCAGTCTGGAGTGAGCCCCTCCTCATTACCTCGCTATCCCTCCCCCAGACGAGGACCTCCAGGCTCATCTGCGTGGCCACGCCCACTTGGTCATGGTTGAGAGGTCGGAGGTTGCAAAGAGGTCGGTGTACATCCGAGGGTTTTCAAATGTGCCGTCTGCCAAGGATGACTTGTATGGAGTTATGAGTCAGTTTGGGGGCGTGGTATCAGTGGCGGTGGTGTCAAGTGACTCAGCTGTGTATGCTCTGGTGGAGTTTGCAACAGTTGACTCTGCCCTTAGTGCCCTCAGGTTCCACTACTTTTAATCATTTAGCCAGCTGTGCAGTTCTTCATTCTCCACACTCAGGCACTCCCCTCCCCTCAGTCTTCACGGCCACACCCTCACAATCAAGCCACGCATACTTAAAACCGACAAGATCCCAAAAAGAGCAGTTCTTCAGCATCGGAAGAAACGCCTTGATGTTGCCGGGGGAGCAGGAGTCATGGAGAGTGTTGGCGAGGAGGGGGGTAAAAAGGAGATGGCAAAGAAGAGCAAGACGCAGAAGAGAAAGGAGAGAGATGAGATGGTTGGAGGGATCAGACTCAATGAGCAGGCAGCAGCTGCCCTCTCTGCAGCACACTCAGTAAGAGCACAGACTGTATGTGCCAACACTGACTTCTCTATATACCTACAGATAGAGCTACAACTTGAGACCCTGGCCTCACACTGTCGCCTTGGCAACACTACCGCGGAGGATCAACTGACATTGGCATGGCAACTGCAAGCAAAGTTTCACCGACTCCTGCCGTCCTGTGTTGTTGTTCCATTTGGAGCCCCCTTCTCTGGTCACGGGACTGTGTCATCGGACTGTGATCTGTCTCTGCTTTCGGACCCGTCTCCTCTGGACCTGTCCCTCTTCATTGGCCCCGCCTACCTCCCCTCCCACCTGCATTCTGTCTGGGACAGACTGCAGACAACTAGACCAATGCCAGCAGTGGAGGGAGAGAGCCAGCAGGCAGGCGAGGTGGGGATGAAGGAGATACTCGCTGTACTGCTGGCTGATCCCAGCTACTCGGCTGTGTGGGCTTTGCCGTCTGCTCGTGTCCCTATCATCCAGTTCATGTCGGGCCAGCTGCACTGTGACCTCTCTCTGAACAACAGGTGAACACCTCCAGCCTCGTTAGTGGTGGGTGTGGCCATGTAATTACCTCCCTTCAGATTGGGTCCTGCGAACACACGGCTCCTTGGTGCATACATGAACTTTGATCCCCGGATGGCTGTACTTGTTCCATGTGTGCGACTGTGGGTGAGGGGGTGGGGTTTGGGGAGAAGACTACTCAACAATTATGCCATGTCCCTGATGTTGATCCACTGTCTTCAGCACACCACTCCACCAGTCCTCCCATGTCTCCAGGTTAGCCTTACTAACTCATCCTCTACACAATCTCCATTTCCTCCACACAGGAGCCAGGGGTGTGGCCTAGAAACATGGCGTGGATTGGCAGTCGAGGTTTGTCAGTGGAAAAGTCAATCTCACTGGGTGGTTGGGACTGCTCATTTACTGACCCTCGCTCCCTCCTGCCTTCCTCCAATACTGCCACTCCAGGTATTAACATACATAACTCCTTCCATTTCCTCACCTCTCACCACTTCCTCTCTCTCTCTTTCCATGCAGCACGACTACTGCTGCACATTTTCAAGTATTTCTCAGAGGAATTCTCATTTTCTGAGCACATGGTTGCCATCCACACAACCTCCCCTCTCCCCATTCCTCGAAAAGAATCGATCCCAGGCTTCCGGGTCTCTTCTCTTTGCGTGCAGGATCCATTTGAACGTGTCCACAATGTAACCAAAAACATGACTGCCACCCATCATGCTCATCTCATTGAAGAACTGTCTAGTTCCAAAAAACTCCTAGCTGAACTGCTACAAGACGAGCAGTCTGACCCCAGCATTCGGCAGGATAGTATTCCTCTCTTCAAGCCCTTAAGTTACAAGCTGAAGCTTGTCCCTATGGTGTCGACTGTGGATCCCAGCAAACAACAGAGCTTTCTCACGAGATGAGACCCTCTGTCCACAAGCCTTTCCTTAGCAAGAATGCTACTGGTATGCATTCTCTGCAAGTTGACCTTGAAACCCTCTCTCGCCTTCTCCATGACACTCCCTTTGCTTCTCTGGAGGGAAGATTGGAGGAATTAGATCTGAAAAACACTTTCGTTTGCCAGCGACTTGACCATGTCATGCTGCACTCTCTGGCACACCGCTTTCAGCAAGACTTTGGTATCACTCACTTTCTTCAACCTCATGAAGTTGGAAGAATGGCAAGTGTGTCCGTTGGCTCTGCTGCTGAGGCTGACCTGGCGGCACCAGTGACTCGCGACCAGAAGAGAGAGCGGTCTCCAGAAGAGGGAGAGGTGGAGGATATGGAGGTGGAAGAAGAAGAAGGAGGGTTTGAGGTGAAGAGGCAGAGGTTGGAAGGCGAGGAGTCGGCTGAGCAGCTGTTGTGTCGGTTGACGGAGGGAGGGGCTCTGGACTGCCGAGCCCAGTGTGTGGCGGAGGAGGAGAGCTGGGTCGGTGCCCGTCGCCGTAAGAGGCAGCAGCTGAGGGATGGCGACAGTTCCTTTTCCTCACCTGCTCCCCAGACCCCATCACCGCCATTATCTTCCATGAAACCATGCCTCTCCTTCTCCCTCTCCGTTTCGAGTCAACATCATCCCTTCACAAACCATACTTCAGTCATCATGCAGGCTTCTGACCCAAAATTCAAATCCGCATTTGAACTCTTCTTCTCGGTTTGCAAGAAGAGATATTTTCACTGACTTTATGTACAAACACACTTATTATTATCACACGATGTACACAAAAAATTTGAATGGAAAAATAGCAGTGATCGGGAGAAGTGACATTCTTGAAAAGAGGGACAGTGGTGAGAGAAAAGCTAGAGAAACTTGTGCGGCTGGGTGTTCATGATGGTGGTCTGCGTTGGCACCTCTGAGGAGACAGACATCGATGCTAACATGGCTTGTGGTTTTGCAGAAAACTCACCAGATAGACAAGAATTCTCCGGTATAAGAGACTATAATACACACAGTTTTCTAGAGGACTTCTTGTTCTGCAATGGCAGATGGTGACTTGTGGGAGGAAGTGATTTGAGCCAGGTGGTCGACTGGACCTGCACACACAAACATACCATAGTCAAAATGAAAGAGTAGGTCAAAGGTTCCGCTCACCGAACACGGCGTGCAGGGCAGTTATGGCAGAGTTGAGAGTCTTGTGATCCACAGTGGAGGGAGGGGCTTGTAGTGTCACCCACGGAGATTCGGGAGGCAGCTGTGAGGAAGGTTTGAATCCCAGCTGACCAAACAGGTCACTGCAGCCAGGGCTTGTCCAGGCGCTGCGCTCCAGCTGCAGTCTGACACCTTTTCTTGTCCCTTCTCCTGTCTCAACGCTCGCTCTGGCTAGCTGGAGCTGCATGGGGAGGGAGGAGTAAATCACTCAATGAACCCGCTTGATGTGTGAACGAACTGATGCCAGGACAGGAGAGGCAGATGAGGGGTGTTTGCTGAGACTGGCGAGAGGCCGCAGACAGTGAGGAATGCTGAGAAGAGCTTCCAACTGCTGCTGACACTTGCGCTGGATCCCCGAGTCATCGTGCTCCGGGTACACGATCGTCGTGGGAACATCTTTCTTGATGGGATGGATGAAATGGAAGCCGGTGGCTTTCAGTAGCTCCTCCCAGCCTGGCACAGCTCCCACCTTCCTCTCCACTGCTTGCTGTGTGCTGTACTTGGGTTCCATCGCCCCTTCGCTCTGAGAAACCCTCTTGACTGATGTGGAAATCTGGAACACATAACATTGGCAGATATACAGGAGCACACATGACTAAAGGTTAGTGACAAGATGATAACATTACAATGTGTATAGTGCAAGACAACCTGTCTGTAAGTGCAAGATCTGATAAAACACAACACAGTCTTGTTTCATTGTCTCGAGACACAATAGAAACATTGTGTAATTATCTACACACTGATCCATATTGTTGCACTGCATTCCATTCACTGTTGCCTCTCACCAAACTAAACACAGCCTAGTTGCTATGACTACCAGCAGGGCTAGTGATGGGGAGAAACTGACCATGGAGAGGAGGTGTCTGAGAGCTGCCACCAGGTAGTCTTCCTGATTGGCCTGCAGGAGACTGCACATACTGCGCACCAGAGGCTGCATCCTATCTCGTAGTACTGTGTCTCTACCAACCAGCAGATACCCCGCCCAGTTGGCTGGATGGCTGTAGCGACTGCTGTCATGAACGACCTAATATTGGTGGACACAAGAGAGAAAGGTGATCAGTGGGAAGATTGCGATTAGTGGGAGGTAAGAGGTAACTTACCTGCATGCCATACGCCAGAGCTCGTGAGGCGCGACTCCCATACACGAGACTGCTGTAGAAGGCATTCATCATGAGTCGAGAGGCCTGGAGGGAAGTGGCCCACAGAGGAACAATCACACACTCCACACCACTGCACAGGAACGCCTGTGCCAGACACATCAGACCCTTGGCTGACACCCTCGAGCCATCGCTATGGTGAGCCCCACTCAGCACTACCAGCTTGGCCGAGAGCCGCAGTTCCATCAGCTCCCCTACGGTGAGCAGGTAGTCTCGAGGTTCAGGTAGAGCGTTGGCGGCCCCATCGGCCACTCCCCTCCTCCCCACCGCTACTCCATCCCCACTCACTCGAGACTCCGCCCCCTGCCCATCAATACTGTCCTCGGAATCGCTGTGGCTGTTGTCAGGAGGACCTAGAACGAGCTGGCCTCTTTCCCACGACACGTTCGTGATGAAATGGACACACTCGGCTGAGCTTAGTCTTCGCATCACTGCCTCTTTACTGGCTGCCTTCCCAGAGAGGGGTTTCACCTCCAGCAGATCAGACAGCAGTCGAGTCTCCTTCTCCACTCCAATGAGAGAGTGCCACGGGCAGTGGGCCCCTGACACTGGGATTGCTGGGTTGCTCACAACGAGGGGACACAACCGTTGAGCCCCAGATCTGAGGTTCTGTTGGTCGTGGGAGAGGGGGCTTGGAGAGGAGGAACGTCGAGATCCACCTTTCAGGCCAGGTGTTGCTGGGGAGGGGCTACGGGAAGATCTGGGAGCCAGACTCTGTTTCCTGGACACCTTTGGTGTGGGTTTTGGGGTGGGAGGTATGAGGGACTGCAGGGAGGGGACCACCTGCAGATGGTACCGCTGGTACAGACACTCTGTGCCACCCTCTCCCTTCAGTAGCGAGAAAGGCACGAGGTAGAGGTCCTTATCGGGTACAATGACAACCTTCCCACCTGTTCCCCCAGGGCTCTTGGGCTGAGGCAAGACGTACTCCATTGGCTTGATCAGGATGTCGTACAGTTCGTACACCGGAGCCATGTTGACTGGCTTCCTGCTCCCCTTCTGGTGGCTCATGCCGATGCTGTCTCCCCGGCTTGAACTGCTGCCAGGTCGAAAGGCAGGGGCAGATATGGTGGAACCAACTACGGATTCTGCATCGTCCCCGGAGTCCAGGTCATCCGATATACCGGAGCCCACACTCTTGGTGGCCAGACGGTAGCGCTGCTCCACTCCAAGAGCCTCTCTGACGGAGGCCACGCTGTCCACTAGAGGTTGGACGTAAGAAGAGGAGGACTCGCTGTAGATGGAGGCGGTGTCATAGCCTGTCAGAGCAAACTCCTGCATGTCCACCTGCTGGAACTGCACGATGCCACTCTTGGGGTGCAGCATCCAGATGAAGATGTGGTTTAGAGCAACAGCAAAGTAGAGGACAGGGCAGCGGATGGCTTCGATTGCCTCCTGGATCCATGAGGAGTTGGGTGTATACTGCTTCATAAGTGCCACTTCCTTCATGGCCTGTCTGCTGACGTCTCTCTGAGCCAAGGCATCGGTGATGGCTCTGTTTCTCTCCATCTCTGCCATCTCCAAGGCCTCCTCCACTTTCCCCTGCCTCACCAGAGTGTTGACTAAGGTCTGGAAGAGGAACGGGTACAGCTCCAGTGTCTGCTTGGTAGCATGGTCGTAGTGACCCACGTTCTGCCGCATGTGCTCAAACAGGGGGAGAGCCTTGCGCAGGTAGACCAGTGCAGCCTCAAAGTGGCTCTGGTAGTAGAAGGCTTGCCCGAGATAGAACCGGATCTTCGCCTCCACTTCAATTTCGGCCTGTGTGTGTGCATTGGTCTCGGCGGCTGTTTGGTCCACAACGAGACTGAGGGCTTGCTTCAGCAGAGATACTGCTCTGGCACAGTCGCCCATCTTGATGTGGATCTTACCCAACCCCATGAAGGATAACGCTTTGGAGAAGTTGTCCCTCAGAGTGTCTGCTGCACTGAGCTGCTTTTCTCTGAAGTCGATGGCTGTCTTGTACTCTCCCATGGACTCATACGTCTCGGCAATATTCCCCAAAGCTCTGGCTTCTCCGTCCAGAAACCGATTGGCTGAGGAGATGCGGTGGTCCAGTTTGTGGTAGTCAATGGCCTCTCTGAAGTTGCCGAGTCTGGAGTGGACCTCTCCAAGTCCACAGGCAGCCATGGCTTCACTGAACAGGTCCTCCAGGGAGCGAGAGAGAGTGAGCTGTGAGCTGAACGACTCCAAGGCCTGATTGTACTCCCCCAGTAGCATCTGGACGCCTCCAATGTCGGCATAGCACTCTGCCTCTGTGTACTCGTCTCCTACCGATTTTGAAAGTTTCAGTTGGCGTTCAAAGTAGCTCAAGGCTTTGCGCAGGTTTCCCAGGCCTCGGTGGGCCCTGCCGAGACTGCTGAGGGCCCTCATCTGGCTGCCGTCGCTGTGAGCCTTCTGGGAGAAAATGAGGTACTGCTCATGTTGCCTCACTGCCTGCTGGAAGTCCCCCACCGCCTCGAACGAGTCTCCAAGGTTGGCGCAGGAGTTGGCTTGCTCCAGGAGGTTGTCTTTCAGCTGTAGCGAGCTCTGCAGCTGCAGCTGGTGGTACTGCAGTGCCTTCTGGAAGTTTTTCATGTTCCGGTGGACAATGCCCAGACAGCCATAGGCCTTTGTCATGAGGATCGCATTTTCTAGCTGTTTGGCCAAGGCTAGTTCGTGCTCGTAACACTCAACTGCCTGTTGGTGCTGGGCGAGGGAGTTGTAGGTGGCACCCATGTTCCCGTATGCCTGGCACTCCCCGGTTACATCCCGAGCAGCTTTCCTGAGAGAGAGGTCTCTTCTGTGGTAGCTAAGAGCATGCTCAAAGTCTCCACGTGAGAGGCAGGCATTCCCGAGGCCGCAGTATGCCAGACCTTCAAACGACTGATGTTGCTCCTTTTTCGCCTCCTTCAGCAGATTCTCGTAGTACTCCACTGCCTTTTCATAGTCCCCTGAGTTGAGAGCGTCTTCTGCAATTTGAGTCCAGAAGGTGCATTTTCCCGATGTGTTCTGGATCTCCTCTGCAATTGTGTGCAGTTTTCTCTTGTACGCATCTGCCTGCTCCTTGTCTCCGTTCTCTGAGTACGCTCTCATCAACTTCTCGCAGGCTCTGGTCATACCCTCCTTGTCCTGGGCCTCTTTTGCTACCATGAAGTCGTGCTGGTAGTACTGGATTGCCTGTCGGTAGTGCCCCAGACCCTCGTGACAGAGCCCCAGGTTGTGGCACACTTTGCTCTCCGTTGTTGCATCCTTGAGCTCCTGTGACAGCTGCAGAGCTCTCTCAAGGCAAGGCAGAGCCTCTGCATGCCTCTTGGCAGAAGTGTAGTAGCTCCCTAGGTTGCTGAGGGCCTGGCACTGCACCACCTTGTTGCCTATTTGCTCCGCCAGCGCCAAGCTCTGCTGCATGTGCTCTTGTGCAGCCTGTCTACTGTCAAGGGCCAGGAAGGCTGATCCAAGATGGCCTAGAGTCGCAGCCTCACTTGCTCGATCCACTCGCTCCCTTGAGATCACCAGCTCCTGTTGGAAGTACCTTACAGCATCGCGAAAGCTGCCAAGAGCCATGTGACAACTGCCAAGATTGGCATAGGCTTTCCCCTCAGCTGCACGATCCTTCACTCCCTGAGCCAGCTCCAGACACTCTGTGTAGCACTGCATGGCCTGTGAGAGCTTGCCTGCTGCTTTGTGGATGTGACCGAGCTGATTTAGTGCTGCCAACTGGCTCTCAGCATCGCCCAAGTCTTTGCTGATCTTCAGCTGCTGTTCCCGGCAGCTCTGGGCATGCCAGAGGTTCCCCATCGCCCTGTTTGCCTGCCCCATCCCTCCATAGGCACGAGCCTTAAGCACCAGATCATTGAGTTGCACGGCGACTGACAGGAGCTGCTGGTAGAACATCATGGACTGCTCGTAGTTGCTCTTAAGGAAACAGGCACGACCAAGGTGGCCATACGCCTCTGCTTCCTCTGCCTTGCTCTGGATCTCCTTTGCGAAGGAGAGGTGGTGGTGGTGCCACATGATCGCCTTGTCCACCTCCCCTGCACTGATGTGGGTGGAACCAAGGTGGCTGAAGGCCCGAGCTGTCAGAGAGTTGTCTCCGACTTCTTTTGCCAGCTTCAGTGATTCCTTGTAGGCCTTCAGACCCTCTACATATTTGCTTAGCTTCACCAGTGCCTGCCCGAGTCGATGTAGAGCTGAGATTGCTTCCCACTGGTCGACAGCCTGCGCCCTTTCATTCTGCTTTGTGTGTTGGACAACAGCTTCACTGTAGCGACCGAGAGAGAAGAGTGCAGTGCCGAGGCTTTCGTGGGCACGGCAGCAACCGAGACTGTCTCCGATGCTCTCGTTGATCTCCAAGTCCTTCTGCATGTACTCTAGAGCTTTCTCCGTGTTTCCCAGGATCCAGTTGACACGGCCGAGGGCTTGCAGGAGAGACGCCTCCAGCTTCATGCTGTCGGTGCCAATGGCTCGCGCAGCCTCCAGGATCCTCACCGCAGGCTCCATGCGATTTGCAGTCTGCAACTCCTGGCCAATCAGCGACGTGATGATGAAGGGATTTTTGTCGAGCTTCAGGGTCTCAAATTTCTCCAGTTTCGGTTGGAATTTAGCTGATGAGAGAATGCAATACAGAGCTCATCATCCATGAATTGCACTATAACACCTCTACCCATAAACCTCCAAATATGATCATACAGTTTCCCTGCACGGTATGGCTGTATAAACTGTAGTATACACTACGGCCATTTACTGCTCCACTCCCCCACACTAATACAGACATATTCAGTTACGCAACAGTCAACATACCTTTGAGTGGAGACTGGAGCATGGTTTGAGTGACCCCACTCAACAGAGGACCTGACTTGGGGTCGATGGCCAGCCCCTCAGCGAAGGAAACCATGGCATCTTCGAACCTCTCCAAGCCCTGGAGAGCCACACCCAGTCGGTAGTAGGACTGCAGGACATACATAGACCACACTGTTGAGCAATGTTCGGGACACACAGAGACAGACATGATCAAAACACGGCACAACATGCTGAGCCAGTTCTCATGTATCACGGAATGACTGAGTGTTGTAAACACACCATACTTCATGTCAGCATGCTTGTTCCAAAACACACACACACACACTAGTGTACGACAGTACAGCAGTGCACATTTACCTTTGGCCAGTCTCTCTTGAGCTCGTGACAGCGCTGGGCATCTTTCAGTGCCTCGGCGAACTTGCTGACTCGAGCATATGCAGCCGAGCGGTTGCTGAAGAGAGTGTGGTTGCTGTGATCAAGTGTGATGGCCTCTGTGAACCTCTCAATGGCCTGCAGGAAATCTCCTTCCTCTCCAGCAAGGTCATTCATGGCTCACCTGGCAACAGACAACACAGTGTTGTAAACTTTGTGATTTGTGAGAAACCTTGCATAAATCAATTTCCTCCTGATTCACAAAAACACCTATCAAGAAACTTTCTACCCTAACGAGATCTTTGTAACCTTCTAGAGTAGGCAACTCCCTTCCTTCCACACCAAAGGGGAGCCATGTGTACAACATATCAGTGAATATGAGGATCAGTGATGCACACCTGGTAGCAAGACATGATTATTTATACCATTTCTAGTCCCCAGGGATATGAGGAGAGTGGTAGCAGTTTGAGTGGGCACCGGTCCAGCTACACATGCAAGGCCTGGACTAAATGAATAACACAAGTCTTGGGCTGTGAATGGAGACAGCACTCATTGGCTGGCAGGCCATGAATACCTGTCCATGATACTAATGCCTGGCAGGCATGCCTTGCTCTCCGGTCCAGTTTGAAACCATGAGGAGAGGCGCAATGGTGTGTGGAGAGAGCACTGCGTCAGCTGAGGACCAGTCACAACAGCCTGCAGGGCTCTCCACACCAATGTCCCAGTCCATTCACTGGTCCTCAGCCTCTGTGCCTCCCTGTAGCTGTTGCCCCACACAACAGTCAACCTTCTGCTGGCCCAGGCGTGAAATATCCTCTCACAAATAAGTCTCTGGTTCACCGACAATGGACCATTGAGGCTGAACACTAAATACCCATAATAGCTCTCAGTTGCCACTACATGCACGGAGTGTTGCAGATCAGGATGAGTAACAGAGATCTGTACACCATTTACACATCCCTTCACTGCTCAAGATCTGCTGTGTCCACTTCCCCCATTGGATCACTGAATGCAGAGGCAAAGGCCACACCTCCACTGCATCCCCACACTAATCACTAGCTAGGAAGCCTTCCTTTTCTCTGCTCTGTCTGCTGGAGCACCATATCACATTAGTCTCACCTTACGAGTCCGGTAGGCACCATTGCTCAGAACAGTTCAGACCCGATGTATCGTACGACCAACAACTAAGACATAGGTGGAATACAGTCATGTCTCGTGCACTTACTTCGGGAATTCTGGGCCTAGAGCTTTTCTCAGTCCTCCCCTCACAACGTTAGAGCTTCTCACATACATACGTTTGGGGCAACCTTTCTCCACGCAGCCAAACTGAGTGGCGGTGATTGGTAAACCATATTCATGACTTTAGACAACACCCGCATTATGATGTAATCACCTTTGCGCGCGCCGTGTATGTTATACGCGCGCACTGCGCTAAACAAAACAGCAATAATAATTAGTCCATTGTTTCAGTCTTTAAAACAGGGAGGGGAGACTAGGCATACAGGTCCTCATGATCAGCAGTGTGAACCTCCACCTCCTCCAGACTGGAGAAGTTGAGAAAATGTGCTGGACGGTGGGCCTCGTGGTAGAACTCCATTGGATTTGTCAGCTGGAGCTCATAGTGCATGTTGGCCGAATGACGCACACCTGTACACAGAGCAGCAGTCAGGCACACACACACACACAGCACTACACACTCACCCATGAAGTTATAGTTCCAGGAGCCCTGGGCAGGGACCATGAAGAACCCCAGGAACCTGTCGGAGAGCAGCATCTGGACCTTTTCATAGTGAGAGGGGAGGTAGCCGTGAGGGTTGTTCCCCGTGTCCTTATTGTTGCGACCCCATTCATAGCCCAGCGGAGTCAGCTTGTAGGCCGTGAGAGAGCAGGAACCTGGGGTGAAGCTAAGAGGGAGAGGGAACACTGAGGGAGAGGGGTGGAAGAGAGTCAGGTACCCAACCTGCAGGTGAGTATTATTGTCTTCTCTCCGTCCCAAGTGGGGTTGTCGGCCATGATCTTGGCATGCAGTGTCACATCATGAGGCGACAGCTGCGGCAGCTCGTTAGGCTGAGTGTGAATCCAACCCAGAGGCTCCATTTCCTGCACACACACACGCACACACAGTCACACACACATACACGCATGCATTCCCTGGACAAACCTTGAGGTACTCGTGCTGTGGGAGGAGGTTGGGGAGGTGGATCGTCTGGTGTGTCCCCCACTGAGGAACTATCACCACACACCGGATCTCCTTCACCTGAGGGTTGTCCGGGGGACTCACTCCATACAAGTAGCCTGCAATCTAGAGGGAAGAGAGGGAGAAGAAAGGGGGTTGACTTACTCACATAGAGAATATTCCTCTCCTGACCTGTGTGCGCAGGTCAGAAATGATGATGAATTTCTTGAGGATGTTTTTCGGGAGGATGTATGTGAAGCCAGCTTCCTTGATGTCGTCCGACGAGACGTAGATGTGGTTGGTTCTCAGGTGGAGGTTGGTGGCAGAGATGGCTCTAACTCTCCACTCCGTTTTCGACGAGAACGTCTGCCGCTCATAGTTGCTGGTTGTCGTGACGATTATCTCATCGCCGTGTTTGTTGGTGGTGCGGGTGGTGGTTGCCGTCAGCTGGGACTGCTCCTTCGTTTGTTTCTCAATCTCGGCAATCTGCTGCCTCTGCTGGGAGGGGGCAGAGATCTCCATTCCCAGGATGATGTCCCTGATCTCAGACTGTGTCAGAGACGCCACATTCACACTGTCGACACACACACACACAACACAGTCACTGGAGACACTGCAGGACACGAGTGAACCACTCACTTGTTCTTCTTGCCATAGTCTGCCAGAATGAGGTCTTTGAGTGCGACCTCTACTCTGATCCACTCTTCGTCCGTCAGAGTGGGCCAAATATGGTGTGGCTCTGTGATGGTCGTCTTGTCTGGCTTCAGGATGACCTTTGTCCTGTCAGTGTTGACGTGGAGGGCCCGCAGAATCAGCACGAGTCGAGAGAAGGCCTGCAACACACATCACTGGTGGACAGGCAGCAGATTTGGGTGTGAGTAGGCTCACAGTGTAGGAGGAGATGCTCTTGAGCCAGTCGTCATAGAGATTGAAGAGGACCATCTGAGGCTCAGTGGCCTTGAGAATCAGGTCTCCCAGTTTCTCCACCTTCAGACAGGCCTGGAACGGCAGCTGCAGCTCGCTTCCCTTGATGACAATGTTGGGGAAATCCAGCAGATGAACCTAGGGGAGTGGGGATTACATCACTGAGAAAAGACCCCCTGACTGATGAAAGCAAACACCCAAACTGCCCCCAATACCTAACTGGACAATGTGTACACTGGGAGGTCTTTACCTCGAGGGGGTCCAGCATGCCTTTCCTGGTGACAATGATCTGTTTGGGCTGCTCCTCCACGGGGAGGGAGCGGATGAGGGCAGCCACCTCCTCTGCCGTCTTCCACTTGGCCAGCTGGCCCAGTCTCTTCTGCCCTGCCCACACACTGGTGTGGATAATCTTCAGGAACAGCTGCCCTGTGCGAGGGTTGAAGATGAAGATGGCTCCGTTGATTGGCTTTGTCGTTAGATTCCCCTCAAAGGTCTGTCAGTAGAGACAAAGAGAGGGAAATTACAGGTGTAGTGAGCATTGCTCAAACTTGAGAGGAAATGTTTTCTTGGCAGTAACAAAACTTCCAGGTTAACTATACACCATAATGTGTGTAAACACAGCATTAGGGGGAGTGTAAACAGCCCTTAACTTTACAGGCATACAGAAGAAGTGAGACAGAACCTTGTGGATGGTGACTCGGTAGACATTGGTGTCGTCCACAAACCAGATGATCTGATTGGAGAACAGCTCTCCGTAGTTCTGGGATGAGAGGTAAGGCTCCGTAGGTTCACTGGAGTACAACTGGAGGGCCTTGCGGATCCTCTCCCGCAGCACGTAGAGGGCTGGATTGGCCTTCATGATCTTCGCCATGGCTTGCTGCATCAGTGGTTTCATGCCTGGGATCCAGTTACCAAACACACTGACAGAAGGAGGAGAGAGGAAGAAGAATATAAAAAGGTCTCACATTCATTATGGTGCATATCGTACCTGTGAAGGTTGTATGCGAGATCAAGAGCGACCATGATGCCAGTGGGGGAAGGGTAGATGCTCATGTTGTCGGTGGTGTAGTCCAGGAACTTGGCTCTGGAGTATCTCTCCACGTCATGTGAGTCATAGTCTCCCCACCGCAGCTGCACGTCCACCCAGTACTTCTGGGTCGTCGTGGCATCCATCACATCCCTAAACACACACAGTCACACACATGATTCGTAGAAACTGAAGGTGGAGTAAAGTAACCCACTTGGAGTCTGCCAGAAGAGATGGTTTTGAGACGTTCCATTTGTAGGTGGCAAACAACAAGATGTCGGCACAAGAGCTGTTCATCTTGTACGACTTCCTCGGGTGAATGGTCTCCTTCTGCACCGTGTTGATCTCCAGAGCATCCAGCTCCTGGTCGAAGACCTGGCACAGGTCCATGACCACACTCTCGTGGACCTTCTGCCACAGGTGGGCCCTGAAGATCTGGATCAGAGAGATCTTGAGTGTTGGTATCTTCCCGTGCATGAAGATCCCTGTCAGGTCAAGCTGAACCTGGAACCCCACATATACCTGGTGTGCGATTGGGAGGGAACGAGGGAAGGAGAGGTAAAGTGGTACACACAGGGTGGATGATGGCTACTAACATTGGCTCTGTTGATAGTGGGAGACCACCAGAGGGTGAACCGACGGTTGGGGATCTGGTTCAGCCCAGATCTCTGAGCATTGGTCAGTTTCTTGTACTTCATGGACTCCTCAAAGCCGCTGGCCTTCTCCCAGAACAGACCTTCCCAGGTTGGGAAGTACGTGCCTTTGAACAGCGTGTGCTCAAGAATTCCCTCCACGCCCCCGAGGGCCTGGATCATGTCTGTCCTGTAGTTATTGAGGTTCCACAGCTTCCCATCGTGGCGCTGGTGCGTCCACCAGAACGGATTCTGCTTCAAGACCTACAGGAGAGAGAAATCCTCTAGAGTGGTACTGGGCTTATCCCAAGAGACATTGCCTCAGAATGAAGGAAAACAGAGAAACAAAACTTTCACTGTCCAAAAACATACAGACACTATTGCATCACGAACAGCTCTACGAGTACATGGACTCTCCCATTGCAACATGAACAGCTCTACTGAGTACATGGACTCTCCCATTGCATCATGAACAGCTCTACTGAGTACATGGACTCTCCCATTGCATCACGAACAGCTCTACTGAGTACATGGACTCTCCCATTGCATCATGAACAGCTCTACTGAGTACATGGACTCTCCCATTGCATCACGAACAGCTCTACTGAGTACATGGACTCTCCCATTGCATCACGAACAGCTCTACTGAGTACATGGACTCTCCCATTGCAAAATGAACAGCTCTACTGAGTACATGGACTCTCCCATTGCAACATGAACAGCTCTACTGAGTACATGGACTCTCCCATTGCAACAGTTCCATGGACATTACCTGATACTGTTTGAAGTCGGTTCTGACTCTCCACCCCTTGTCGTAGGCCAGAGTGTGGCGGTCCTTCTGGAAGAGGGTGTTAATCCGAGGGATCCCGCGGTCCCACGAGTCCTCGAGGTCTTCCAGAGTCAACCGCCTGTTCTGAGCATTTGCCTCTTGTCTTTTGAGCCTGTACTCTGCCCACACCCTCTGGCTGTCAATGAACTCACTCTCCCACGGCTGAATATACCTGCACAGAGAGAGTTGTGCTCCTTTCAATTTTGCATAGGAGGGACTTGGTTGAAAAAGGAAGGAGGGGCTGACCGATAGAGGTTTGGGATGAGCTGGTCCTCATCATGACTCATGCCAGATCTGAAGTGAGTTATTCCAGAGTCAGTCTGTTTGGACCAGCGAAGATCGGACTGAGGGATGAGCACGTGGCCCATGGACAGCATCCCGAGTCCCCCCAGCTCCTTGGGAGTGTAGAACACAACAGGAGGGAACCTGCTGGGCATCTTGGAGTTGAGACCAATCTTAATCCTCGTCTGGATCTGTGGGTGTGTGGGGGGATGATGTAATGGTCAGCTCGTGCAATCTATCACACAGAGTGACTAGTGTAAGTGGTAAGTTTCTCTCTGCTCACATGTATAGAATCAACCCAGATATTGCACACTTGCAATGTGCCTTAGTGTTTCAAGTACACACCTACACAGGGAACCAGGTCAAACAAGTACCCTCGCCGCGTGTCTTACGCAGCCAAGCCAGACATACTTACTACAGACCAAACAGACCTTATTCTCACACTTGACGAGGAGGTCCAGCAGCTCCTGAGTGTTAACGACAGCCTCTCTGAAGTAGGTCATGAGACCTATGAGAGCAGTGTTCCACTTGTTGACTATCTTGGTGAAGGTGGTGGAGCCAGACGCCATGAGGATCTGTCGCACTCTGTTGTGGTACCTAGAAAGACTCTCCTCGTCCACTCTCAGGAAACACTGCGCCGTCCTCTCCTTGGTCACCTAGCAACAGACGGGACAAGATAAACACAAGAAGAGAGTGTGCTTTGCTCACCTCATTCTGCAGATTCCAGACGCCATCTTTGTGAGTGAACTCCTCGTACGAGGTCCTAGTCTTGGGGAGGATGCGACACTCGAAACCACTCATGTTGAAGAGAAGGTTTGGGTTGTCTTTGGAGTACACTGAGACAAACGAGTTCTCCCACTGGATGGTGGAGATGGAGCGAGGGAGACGGTTTTTGATGTCCCAGAACACCGCCCTATATTTCAGAGAGGGGGAGAGCTTGACCTGGTAAATGAAGGATTTGAGAATAGCTGGCCAGGAGAGAAAGAACCACATTCAACCCTCAAAAGAAGATGGTACTCTCTGATTCTCTCCTGGCCTGCGTATTACTATTCCTCAATCAAAGTGTCAACATTTGAAAAGAGTGAATTAGAAGAGAGAAGTTGTACCTGCCGAGGTTCACATCGTGTTTCATGAGTCTCATGCGAGCATCTCGAGGCCAGCACTTCTTGTTGTTGTAGCCGACGATGTTCTCGTTGTTGGGGTCAGGGTGCTCCGTGAGGTACCTCTGAATGAGCTCCCGAGCCTCCTCAGCCGTGAACCTGCCAACAGACAGACGGAGCAGGTGTCAGGGTGGCAGGCAGGGCACGGTCTCACCTGAAGAAGATGTGCACACGGTCCACGTAGCGAGAGTAGAGTCGTATGGGGTGGCTGGTCTCGGTGTCCACGTCCTGGTACGTGAGGAAGTCGTTGGGCACCTGAGGAGGCCCCGCCATCTCGCTGGCCCTCTGGAGACCCAGCACCAGGAGATCCAGCACCAGTCCATAGTACTGGACTATGAACGACGCAAACTGCAGTCCTCGTATTATCCCATACGAATTGGTGTGGTTCATATCCTGCACACACAGGGAGGAAAAGCTTCACATACAGATCATTCTATGGATAAATTGGCAGAAATTATCAGAAAAATGCATCCTTGCCACAAAATCCGCAGACAAAATAGGCTCAAACCTCACGGCAGCATCCTGGAAAAATGTTCTTCTATCAGTTATTTACATACCTTGTAGTTGATGACGACATTGTTTTTGGCTGTCATGTAGTCGGCAATGTTGTGGTCCACGATGAGCCGCAGGAGCCGGTTGAGAAGTGTCAGGTCTATCTTCTCATACAGCTTCTCGAAATGACTCTCCATCATCACGTTGCACTCTCCCTCCCCAGTCTCCCACACCTCCTGCAGGTTGTTGATACCTACACACACACAACACCCATCATAACTTCACGACTTGGTGTGTACCACACTGAAAACTGTGTGAATTCCAATTGTGCTACAAATGCTCCCTCCAGAAAAGGTTTAGTATTTCACAAGCGGCTGTCAGACAATACAATTCACGAATGTTTTCTCCATCCCTGCTCTACATTACCTTGGCACCACTTGTAGACCAGGAGGGGTGGAGGCTCCGTGTCGGCTGGCTTGATCCAGGGAGGAAACAGTCTCCGTTTGTCTGCCTCGTACCACAGGTACTGGTCCAGGTAGGCATCGGTTATCTTCTCCAGGGGCTCCACATCATACACCGGGACCAGGTGACTGTACAGGTCCATGAACTCTATCGCCACCTCCTTGAAGGCCCGCTGAGTCAGCAGATGTCTCTTGATACGAGAGAGGGCCTCGTGTGGGTTGTCGTAGGCCTGTTCGATCAGCCCCAGCTCCTCCCGCTGGCTCTGGTTCAGCCGACTCTTGACACTGTAGGCCTCCTTCAGTCGCTCCAGAGCCAGGATGAGGAGCTTCGTGTCGTGCTTGTACGAGAGAGGAGGAAAGGGGATGGGAGAAAACCGTCGACTCTCCAGCCAGTGGACCGTGGTGGTGTAGATTGCTACGGCCTCCTCTGCCGTGATGTAAGGCCCATCTTTGAGGTAGTTGTGCTGCCTCTCTTGCTCAGCTTTCAGGTAGAGTCTGGTCAGTCGACCCAGGTTCTTCTTGCAGACCGTTTTGTCCACTGTGGCTCCGCGACGGATCCTCTCGCGGTTGTAGTGAGCAGTGTTGGTCCACCAGTCTGCCTTGCTCTTCACGTAGCGCAGAATCATGTTCTCCACTGGGATCGGCAGCCCCGGGACCTGGTCATGTGACATGTCATGTGACTCGGGTGAGGATCACATGACTGCAGACTTACCTTCCAGGGGATGTTGGCCTTCCAGCAGCGCCAGGCTTCGCTGAGGTGCTGGAGAATGGTCCGAGCCTTGTTCTGTTTGATTCCCTCTGGCATCATGTCCAAAATGTCGTGCATCACCGCAGCTCGCAACTCCAGGTCGAAATGACTCTCCACTCGTTGCTTGGTGACCGTCTTGGCCACGCCTTTCGAGTGTCGACCTTCGAACTGTCGCGAGAGGAGGTTTCCGAGCCAGCGCTCAAGGAGAGGGACCACGCCCCTCAGGAAGAAGAGCCACACCCTCCATCCTGGGGCCCAAATTCCGACCCCTGGTCCCTTTCCCACGGGACCAGTGTTGAAACGATAGTAGATCACATGCTTGAGATCCTTGCACATGCGGATCTGCCGCATCAGCTTGTACTTGTAGCGGTACATGCCCGTGAGTTGGCCCACGTGAGCAAAGATGTACTGCAGACCATCAGCAAGCTACACCGTGAAGATAAAGAGGAGAATGAGAGAAAGTAAAATAGTGAAAGTAAAAGTAGTATTGACTAACCTGAAAAGCGTCCACGTTACCAAGACGGTACTGCACGTGGGAGTCGACGATGAGTTTTGTGAGTCGCAGGATCTCGCGACACAAGTGGAAGGCGTTGCCAAACCGCGACTTCTTCCTCTCCTTGGTGGTGAGTGTCTTGACTGGCTTCAGATTGAAGTTGTAGTCCAAGTGGAGGTAGTTGAGGTTCTTGCGATGGATGAGGAGGTTGAGCATGTTGTAGCCCTGTCTGCACACCTGGAGCCCCGCCTCCACCCAGTCCAGCTTGGTCGACTGAAAGAACTTTGTCGCCTTGAACGATCGGAAGAGGTACCTAGGGACAGAGGGAGGTTGAAGGGACTGCTATCAGTTCAGATCCACTCACCTCTTTTTAAGAGCTTTGGGAGGCCTGTGCTTGAGTGAGTTGAGTACAAACACTTTGAGCAGCTTTTGGTAGGAGACCCGGACCTTCACCGGGTGGTCTGGGGGACAGTGCTCGTGGTACCTACACACACACAGAAAGACGATGATCGATGGATAGGACCTGGAAACTGACGTCGAGAACCTACATACCATGTCTTGACAAGAGGAATGTCAAGGGCTCTGCGGGTGCGACCAGAGCGGAGATTGAAAGGTCGCGGAGCCCACAGCAGAGCGACTCCGTTGGCAGTGTTGTCAGTGTAGAGTGGTGTACCCGTGAGGAATGGCTCCACGTGACCTGGCAGGACGAAACTCTCGTCCTCCTCTGGCTCTGGATCTACCACCTGATTAACACATACAACGTTAATAAAATCCTCAGAAGCTGCAAAGGTTATCAAGAAATTTCTCCTTATTTGGTAGCTCCCACCACAAACTCTCTAGACACAAACCTTGGCAGTGGTCTGGTGGCGGTGAGCTATTGGATTGATGAGAGGGTCGAAGTAGAAGGCAGGGAGGTCAGGGTCCTCGGTCTTGATGAAGACGACGGAGGGGGTGTGGTACCAGGACAGGTGGACGTAAAGAGGCAAGCTGTTGTAGAGGTAGGGGAAGGCAATGCGGTACTCCGTGCGGACCGGCTGGCGGATAATGATCTTGTTGATGTCATTGAACTCATTCCAATCCTCTTCACTACACCGGAAAAAGAGAGAGAAACAATGCAGCAATTTATGGTATTTTTATGCCGCATGTAAAAATGTGAGAGAAATACTCACCCTATTAGGGACTGGTCCTTCACAAGAGGCTCAAACTTTGGCCCTCCAGGAATGGCCAGGTTGAGGGCCTTGGCCGTGAAGAACGACTTGACGTCAAACAAATAGAAATAGTTGTCGTCCACCAGATCTGTAACGAGCTGGTTGCCAAGGCGATAGAGCGTGGACATGATGGAGAGACTGAGGTTCCAGCGACGGTATGTAGACCCATTCACAAACCTGGGGAGATGAGTGGGCATTAATTAGACCTCTTATGTGAGGAGGGAGAGAACGCACTTTGTCCCGACCAGAGGCTTGTGGTCGTAGAACCACTCGTGGACAGCTGCATCTTCCTCTTCGTCCAGCTCCATCTGGACTGGCTCCAGAGGCTCCACATCAAGGACGTTGTCGGCGTAATCAAGTGGGGGCTCCTCATCATCAAATGGAGGGAACCTCATTCTCTTGAAGTGGCGTCGGTCTCTCTTCTCTCTCCTCATCATGATCCACATGGTCCTGTGGGTCGTGAATATCATTACACCGGGAGAGAGTGGTACTATAGTCAGATATACACACCCCCACTGTGCGATGTAGACGGGCTCCACCACCCAGGGAATCTCGTTGACGAAGGTGATGGCTCCTGTGATGTGATAGATGACAGTCACGTCTCGTATCTGCTCCCACGGCATTGGCATGTTCTCCAGCAGCTTTAGCACCGCATGAGGCATGTACTTTAGAGCTCTGGGCAAGGAGGGAGAGAGTGAGAGAAGTGGAGGGGAAGAGAGGGAGAGTGAGAAGAAGGTTGGTGACAGCTACTCACCCCAGATACACCCTCTTGTCATTGCGGAACTTGCGGTGAGTCATGTCGCCATGGTCTCGAATGATCTTTCTCACGTGCTCAGGAGGCATATCCTCCTTCTGTGCCTCCACAAATCCGAACTTCCTCTTCTCGCTGTACCTCTTGCTCTGCAGCTGCTGCCACTTCCGAGCTGCGGGGCCGGGAATCACACCGTGGGGCACATTATTCTAATAAACGCGCACCCACCTTTCTCCTGCAGCTTGTCCTCGGAGAGCGAGGTGGCAGGAGGGAAGGGATGTCGCTGCCGCTCCAGGAGCGGCTGGTGGAAAGTCATCCCTTAGACGCAGCCAGCTACACTTTCCTTCTTGTGAAGAAAATAAACTCCGATGGACGTTGACCCAACGTGCGACCTCACCACCACCACACACCAGTGCAGTACCCAGCGCAAGTTTTTTGGAAGTGTGCGCATGCGCAATAAGGAACGCTCAACGAAGCGTTGAGAGGGGGGGATCGGAGGCGTGGCTGCTGAGGTGTGTGCATGAGATACGAGATGTGAATCCTGGTATTGCAGGTAACTAGGTATTACTGGTATAGGTGGTAATGCTGGTAACTCAGGTAAGGCTAGTATGGTAGGTAATCCTGGTATTGCACGTAACTGTAGGTCGTCCTATAGTGCAGCTACAGTCGCCGGCTGAAGCAAGTTCCACGACATGCATGAGATACGAGATGTGAATCCTGGTATTGCAGGTAACTAGGTATTACTGGTATAGGTGGTAATGCTGGTAATGCTGGTAATGCTGGTTACTCAGGTAAGGCTGGTATGGTAGGTATTGCACGTAACTAGGTCGTCCTATAAATGCAGCTACAGTCTCCGGCTGAAGCAAGTTCCACGACGGCCCTAAGTCTACAATGGCTACGAGTGTTCCTTCCCCGGCAAAAGCGAGGCAACTGTACGTGAGGACGCCTCTCCTCTGCAGCAGAAAGCTCTCCAAACGAGTTGGAGCCAACGTCTGGCTGAAAATGGAGAGCGTGCAGCCGTCTGGCAGCTTCAAAATTCGGGGTCTCAGCAACTTCGCGAATAAAGTAAGCAAATAGGTTTTGTTTGTAGCGATGACTGTGTGTGTGTCTGTGTGTAGGCGGTGGAGAGAGGCTGTACAAGGTTTGCCAGCTCCTCTGGAGGGAACGCGGGACTGGCTGCTGCCTACATAGCACGGCAGCTGGGCCTCCCCATCACTGTGGTGGTCCCCGAGACGACGCCGTCGTTCATCGCGGACAAGTTGAGGGAGGAGGGGGCTGAGGTGGAGGTAGTGGGGAAGGTAAGAGGCTTCCTGTCTTGTGACTGTCGTAGGAACTGGTGTCAGGAAATACGTATGCCTGGTTCTGAAACCGTATTATACGGGCGAAGCTGTTTACCCGAGGGGGGTAGAGTAAACAGCTGAGGGGATTTCCGGTATATACCGCTGAAGGCCACCAAGGCGTTAACCTATTTCTCATTAGTGCATAGCTGATTCGAATCGACCAATCAGATTTGTTAGTACGAGGTTCCTGATTTCTCATATGAACCTCGTGAGCTAACAAAAGTAACATGAAAACATGATATGAAACCTTGTTTTTTCTGTTGATTTTCAACAAGTTAAACAGCATTTCATGTAAGAAATGTATCCCGAAAAACATGATCTGTACAAAATGTTGATCAAAATAACTGATATCTTGATTTTCTTTTTCCACGAGACAGTTTTCTGTGTCTGCTTTGAGCCCATCTCTCTCCTTGCCATGTATATACATAGTAGATAGCCAGGCAGCTCACGCCCGCCACAAACCACCGCACGCAAATAAGGGGGTGGGGCTCCGCGAGCGAGTGCGCGCGACAAAGCTACTAAGTCGACGGCGAACGCCTTCGGTATAGCAGCCCGCACAGCGCCTGAATTCGCCTCTCTCTGATTGCGATGGTTCGCGCAGGTCTCCTGCCGCGTTTCTTCGGATGAGTGGCGGAGGACAGTCCCGCAGCGGGAGTAGCTAGAGTGGCGGAGCAGCGTATCCTAGCGTTCGGCGTTCAATAGTCCCGCACGAGATGACGGTCTTGCGCTCTCGTCTCTTTCTCGCATCTTTCAAATTCCCTGTGCTTGGAAACGCAGTGCGCGTATACGGAGCTGATTTTCTCTGCACTAAACATGTTATGTACTCCGTATACTCGGGACAAACCGGATTTCAATGAACCCTCGTGCCATCCGCGTAGTGCCCTCGCTGCGCTCGGGACACTACAAACGCGGAGGCCCTCGGGTTCATTGAAATCCGGTATGTCCCTCGCACGTAGTACATAAATATAGGTTATACTGCGCGTCAATGGAAATACGCGATTTAGACGGCACGAGGGGCCCTGAGCTGTAGCTGTCTGAGCGCAGCGAAGACGCTACTAAGGGCTCCGAGGCCGTCTAAATCGTGTATTTCCATTGACAAGCAGTATAACCTGTTTAGACGGAGGCCGTGCCGGCCTTCAAAATCGTCCAGGTCCGCCGTCTTCCGAAAGACTCGCTCTTGCCGGGGGAAGCTAAAAAGGTCTTCAGTTTAGTTTCTTTTTGCATCTTAGAGAGGCCTTTCATCGAAGAAGCATCGGATATAGCGAGTTTGAAGTCGTCGGGGCGAGCTCTCAGCGACAGAGCGAGTTTCTTTGCCTAGAAGCTTGCCACACCCCCATCGAAGACGCCATTTTTTGGCGGGCGTCTCCATGGAAACACGCACTTGGAAAATACGGGATTTAGAATCCACGCTTTACGCAATCTGATTGGTCAATTTAAATCTGCCGACGTCTAACATATATTTATGTAAACTGGGGCTACCCAGCCAGCCAGCGAATACTCAATTAACGGCAGCCACACATCCTCGGGAATATGAGTATTGACGGGCTGGCGGCTTGGGTACTGGGAATACCACTGCGGCGGTGCCTTTGAAGATGAGCTACAAAGACAC